ATAAATTAATAAAATCTTAAAAAAAAAAACAGCAGAAGTCAAATTCGGTGATTCATCATCCAGCCACTAGCCTTGAGGTGGCTGGATGTTGTGGAGGGTCAGTGGCAGCAACAGTGGCCGTGGCTTCCTGGACCATAGCTCTAGTGGTATATGCTTGAATTCAATTATTCCAGAAGGTGTTTCTTGATTTCTCTCCCTTCTGACTACCTCAGGTGCAACAGCTTCCCACCAGTCCATTCAGCCATCATGTCCCAGGAGGCATTTCTTCAAGTCAGGCTAGGACCTGCCCTTCCAAGCCTCCTAATAATTTCGTACACAAAATTTCCCAACTCTATCTCTAAGTTTTGGTTTTCTGCAACTGACACTGGTACACGGAATGCCCCCACCATTCTTTTGTGTCAAATTCTAGCCACCTTCCAAAGCTGAGAGGAATCCTAGTTCCCTTGCCCATGTTAATGGAATCCTTTCTTTTTTCCAAACTCTTATTGCTCCACATGGCACGTGAGAAATTACTTCTGTTCTTTCCTATCCTTGGTTTTTATAACATTCAGTTTTAGCCTTTTTTTGGGGGGGGGTTGTAAAAAGTAGAAAAACATTTAAAATAGTGTAAAGGGGGCATGTGATGATAATATAGAGGAGTCTTTGTAGTATAATAATTATTTTGGTCTTGTAAACCCATCTGACAGAACCTACAATCAGTCTTCATATGGTAGGAATCAAGGAGAAAGCCTCTGAGAAGCCAGGCAGCTACTCTTTCTCTGTGTTCCTGGTAGAGGCTGCTACCTGCCCTCCTAGTACCATCTGCCTCCTACCTTCCCAGCCCATTTGGCACAAATCACTGGAAATAATATTACTTAATCCTCAGATTCTCTTGCAGCTAAATGTTGTCACATGGCTATATTCTAGCCAATGAGATGGCTCTTTAAAAGGACAAAAGTGGACCCTTTCTCTTCCTTTATCCTTCTGAGTGGAGAACAAATATGATGCTTAGTGCTATTGCCACCATATTTCGAGCACGAGAATGAAGGGATCAAAGAGATGGTGGATCCATAAACTGGAAGGATCTCTGAGGAAGTGGAGCTATTATTCTGGCTCTTGAGTACCTATCTCCAGACCTCTTGTGAAGAACTAATTTCTATCTTACTTAAGCCATTGTTCTTTTGAAGTTCTTTTTATATGCAACTAACACGTAATCCTAATTAATAAGCATGCCCTTCCAAATACATAAGAGGAAAACTAGTATTTTTTTCAATTCTAAACTCCTGGGAGAGATGGGAAGAGTTAAGCTTCCATATCTACTGGTATCCCAATTAGCAATGACCAGGGGAGCAAAGTGCCGTAGTACAAATGAGAATACGGGAGGTCTACTCATGCAAGCTGTGGGGGTTGTTCTTACAGAAGGAGGGATATGGGTCAGAAAGGAATCTTAAAAGTTGTCTGCTATGCTCCTTCTCTTCATTTTGTAAACAACTTGCCCTTTCTACTTTATTCCTAAACATCTTCCTCTTCATAATACAGACTGTATTTCTACATTTTTACATTTTTCAGATACCTACTTCTAGCCACAACTATAAAGAGTACCACACCCAAGTGGAAGTACGTTTTGTTATGGCCACAAGCAGAGCATGCTACTTAGTTTTGGTCTTAGAGTCTAGAAGTCGGGTAGAGTCTGACGAGTTCAGGTCCCTATGAATAAACTAGTCCTAAACAGTTCTTTAATTCAGCTCCTTATGAAGACTGGAGAGGATTTGAAATTGCAAAGTCCACATCCAAAAATAGGTAACTATCTCTTCCCATTCAGTCATCTCAGTGATAAACATAGAATTTACATATATATTATTATAATTCCATAATAATTCCAGAGTCATATAATTTGTGTAATTCGACAGGATGGTAGTGATTTTTGTTTGTTTTAAGAAGGCTCCACGCATGATGTGGAGCCCAGTATGGGACTTGTCCTCACGACCCTGAGATCAAGACCTGACCTGATATCAAGAGTCTAACGTTTAACCAATTGAGCCACCCAGGTGCCCCCCGGATGGTAGTTTTTCATTGTTAATTTTTATAAAATAAATATGAAATTATTCTAGATGCCTCAACTATGCAGAAGTATACAAGTCATGGGACAGAAGTATTCCCTTTCTGTCATTGCCACTGTAGTGTGGTCTTCTGTACTGGTGCTCCTTCCATCATTATCAGTGGTGTGCTGTGGCAATGAGTGAGGTTTTTTTCTTTTTAAGTTTAAATTTATTTATTTATTTATTTATTTATTTATTTACTTACTTATTTACTTATTTAATTTTATTTTTTATTGGAGTTCAATTTGCCAACATATAGTATTAAACCCAGTGATCATCCCTTCAAATGCCCCCCTCAGTGCCCATCACCCAGTCACCCCATCCCCCTGCCCGCCTCCCCTTCCACTACCCCTTGTTCGTTTCCCAGAGTCAGGAGTCTCTCTTGTTTTGTCACCCTCTCTGATTTTTCCCACTCATTTTCTTTCCTTTCCCCTTTATTCCCTTTCACTATTTTTTATATTCCCTGAATGAATGAAACCATATAATGTTTGTCCTTCTCCGATTGACTTATTTCACTCAGCATGATACTCTCCAGTTCGATCCACGTTGGAGTAAATGGTGGGTATTTGTTGTATCTAATGGCTGAGTAATATTCCATTGTATACATAAACCACATCTTCTTTATCCATTCATCTGTCAATGGACACCGAGGCTCCTTTCACAGTTTGGCTATTGTGGACATGGTTGCTAGAAACATCGGGGTGCAGGTGTCCTGCTGTTTCACTACATCTGTATCTTTGGGGTAAATCCCCAGTAGTGCAATTGCTGGGTCGTAGGGTAGCTCTATTTTTTAACTCTTTGAGGAACCTCCACCCAGTTTTCCAGAGTTTACCAGTTCACATTCCCACCAACAGTGCAAGACGGTTCCCTTTTCTCCACATCCTCTCCAACATTTGTTGTTTCCTGTCTTGTATTTTTATTTTTGATTGATGGGGTATTCCTAATCTGTTTGGTACAAAGAGTCATTTTCTGCTTGGACTCCAAACTGGAACTAATGTTTCAGGGTCACGCAGTGGAACATGTGCAACGTGCTCTCCTGCTTCCGTAGGTTGGTGTGCTCCTCTCCAAGACCATGACCCCTGAGCTTATGGATGATACTGACTCCACTTCTGCATTCACTCATCCATTCATTCATCACTCCCAACAGGGTCTGCTGAATCTGTGCTCTGGGCTACAAAGGGGATTACTCAGAAGCAGAAGGAAGGCATGGTCGCATTAGAGCGGCCTAATGTTTGACTCTCCTCTGGACATACATTGGTTATTGGTTTGTATTTCTTATTCACTTGAACTCAAGCAAAACTGAGTGACCACTGGGCCAAGAAAATGTGAAAAGGAGTGATGTGAATCTTTTCTAGATAAAAAATGTTAGGAGCCAGTATTTGGCTCACCACATCTTTTTACTCTGTCTCCACAATTATGAAAGCTGGGAGGGAAATGGTTTGTGTTCCCTGAATCTTTCAGTAACTGTCATAAGCAGAGCCCTCCTGGTGATCTATGATGGCCAATTAGCATGAGTGAGAACTTCTGTATTTAAAAGCCTATCCCAACTGTGAAAACTTTTCTTGAGCCACTCACAAACTAGTAGGGAGACATCATGAAACCACAGGCCAGGAATGTACTGTGCATAATCAAATAAGTGCTCAAGGTTCAAAGAAAATAAGTCGTGATAATCTCCCTCTCCATCTTTGCCCTATTCCTTTTTCATTCTGGTTTCCATACTTGAATACCGTCAGTCTTTAAGTATTAACAGAAACTCCTTCTAGCCTTAGGTGGGTCACCTTGAAATGGATTCATCTATAAGACTGGAATAATATGACATCCAAAAAATTGTGAATTTTGTGTGAGCATACAGCCTGAAACCAAACCCTAACATTTTGACTAACCAAAAACATCTGCAGCATAGAAAAATATTTTCTCTGTTTTGTGTAAGTTCATTTTCTTATTGGACATTTTCAAAATAAGGAACTTCCATGGAGGGTAATGATATCAATACAGCAGGAAAATATACTTTATATAAAGTAGATATTCTTGTTTTTACTTTTTATAAGGTATACTAGTAAAATGTATTAAGGAAACATCTTTTTTTTTGTTTTTTCTTTTTAATTTTCACCTCTTTATTTTCTTGCAAAAATGTATCTAACAGAAACTACAGATATTTTTCCCACCCTTCCTTCCCCCATAGAGCTGACCTTTATCTGCATTATTACGAGGCTCACAAGGGCAAGTTTTACCATGGGTTCCCGAACTTTCAGTGCCCACCTGATGGGAAATTGAGATAAGCCAACAACAGCAATTACATAAATGATGACATGATTAGGCTCATGTACATAAAAGTGTGATGGAGATACAGAGGCGAATAATTGATGGCAGCGGAATAACCAGAGAGGATAGGGTAGGGTGGCGGGACTTTGAAATTGTCATTGGAGATGAACACATTTCTTTAATAACATCAAAAATTGGTTCTCTTATCGATGTCAATCAATCCAAGGATCCAGGAGGCTTACGGATATTTTATTATCTTGCCCTGGACCTGAAGTGTTTTGTCTTCAGTCTTACTGGATTACACTTCAGGATTAAGTCAGTGTAGATTGAACATTGGGGTGGACATAAGGCGGGGGGAGCAGCTGTTTTTAATAACCATTGTCAGGAAATTTTTGTGTATATCATGGCAATATTGTTTTATAAACTATAAATGGCTCATAAAAACGTATATATATGTATATATATTGAACTACAAAAAAAATCCCTTTACTTCCTGTAACAGTTCTCTAATAATGCCCTGCCCTACTGGACTCTGAACTACTTCTCGCAATTATTTTTCATAAGTTCTAAACTTTAACTAGAAGGCTCAGGATAAAAGGCAAGGCGACACCACACAAACAGCCACTTTGACTGAGTTTCTAATTGAATCAGGGGGTGACCATGACCTGCTGTGAAGGATGGACATCCTGCAATGGATTCAGCTTGCTGGTTCTACTTCTATTCGGAATAGTTCTCAATGCAATCCCTCTCATTGTCAACTTTGCGGATGAAGGCCAATTTTTTCACAATCCCATCTCTTGCTTTGAGTGGTGGTTCCCAGGAATTATAGGAGCAGGTCTAATGGTGAGTAACATTTATTTGGCTTGATTTGGAGAAGGACCTATTTTACCAAATTCCTAAACACTATCTTTCAGCTTTACGGTGGGCTATATCTTGGCTCAGGGTACTGTCAGGGGCAGTGGAGTGGTATTAATTCATGCTGGCATCAGTGAAGAATGACAATTTAAATAAACTGTGGTACAGACTAGGGAGCTTGGGCAAAAAAATTAATAATCTGATAAAAGTTGGTTGGATTGTTACCTATCATATTTCTTCACATGTTACACTGCTCTTCTAAGCTTTCTAGTTATTGTTCAGGATGTTTTGAATCCATTCCTTCAGCTTTCCTTTGCCAATACTAGTTTCTGAGTATGCACAGAAATATGGGAGTGGGAAGTGCTACCTACGGGAGTCTTAATGTCAGATAAGGAGCTTTTGTTTGGATGTGCGTATGTATGTGTTTCAGTGATGATGAGTTACCACCACTGGTCTTATCTCAGACTTCTATGAAAACACTCTTGGGTCTATTATATATTAAATTTCAGATAAAAATTGGCCCTTCAGCTGGCACACTGGATTTGAGACCACTCTGACACCAAAAAGCCATTTTAGGAAGCATTCTCCAAAAGTTGATGGTTTCTTTCCCTTTAACATCGTGAGTGAGCAATCTATTCACCTTGCTTCAGGTAGAGGGCTATTTCTTCAAGCAACCCTGAGAGTTCTCTTCCAGGCTGAGAGAAAGTGACTAACGGTACCCAACCATGATGCAATTGCCAATCTTTGTGTCTGCTTTCTACCCTTCTAGAAGCTTCTCTCTTCTATCTACTTAAATAGCATGAGCTTCCTTGAATTTTGCTTAGAACCAGAAGCCAGGAACAGCTGTCCAAGTCTAACCAACGATGGCAATTGCCATGAAGCCCCTAAAAGTTCCTTAGTTAAAACAATCCTTTTAGGATAACTCATGTCACTTTAAATATAAATTGGCTCTACTACAAACCCCATCTCAATTAAAAACAGTTTCTTAAACCACATCTTCTTTATCCTTCTAATTACTCAGCCATTAGAAATGACAAACACCCACCACTTGCTTCGATGTGGATGGAACTGGAGGGTATTATGCTGAGTGAAGTAAGTCAATCGGAGAAGGACAAACATTATATGGTCTCATTCATTTGGGGAATATAAAAAATAGTGAAAGGGAATAAAGGGGAAAGGAGAAAAAATAAGTGGGAAATATCAGAAAGGGAGACAGAATATGAGAGACTCCTAACTCTGGGAAACGAACTAGGGTGGGGAAAGGGGAGGTGGGCGGGGGGTGGGGGTGACTGGGTGAGGGCACTGAGGTGGGCACTTGACGGGATGAGCACCGGGTGTTATTCTATATCTTGACAAATTGAACACCAATGAAAAATAAATTTATTAAAAAAATAAAAATAAATAAAAACAGTTTCTTGCTAGCATTAACAGGGCCTGAGCTGGTGATGGCACACACCTACATTCGTTTATGTTGGTGGAGGGAGAGAAGAGGAGGGAGTGAAGACACAGAGAAGGGTACACAGAGAGTACTCTTAAGTGTCAGCTACTGGGTTCATACTTTACACATCTCGTTTCATCTAATAACCTAAGCAGATAATCATTGGCATTTTAGCAGATCAGCAAACAGAAGGTTAAGAATGTTAACAAGGCACACAATAGGTGTGAAACTCAATTCCAGATTTATCTTATCCCAAAGCTCTGTTTTCCACCAGCTTTAGCACCATAATCCTGAAGACCTGTCCCCAGTTGACAAAGGGGAAAGATGAAATCCATAACCTAATCCATAAATTGAAGTGACTAGGAAACTGAAGTATATAAAGGTGATATAAATCTGTGAAAAGTTTCAGACAATCTGGACTTCCTGTCCTATGACTACATTTACTTTATCATCCTCAATAAATATTAATGCAGGACCAGAATCACGTGAAAGACCTCTATTACACAGTACTGTGGAGCATTATCAAGGCAGCAAACAACTCCTTGAAAATTTCAATAGGCATTTTATAGACTGAGTTCCAAACTCTAGACTAGGCTCACAAGCAGACTGGTAGGTGATAAAAGGTGATAAAAGGGCTCAAAGTACAGGTACATCTTTATGATCCTCGGCTATATATAGCATGTAGAAGAGCATGTAGAAGAATATTATTTTCAAAGGGAATCATTCAAAATACTGACCTCTTCAGGTACTTGTAAACACACAGAAAATTTAATTAGGAAGCATTCACTGCCTGTGATAGAACTCTTGTCATAGTTCTTGAAATCTTTCTAAAATTGCTATGGTATTTTAAATTTTCTTCAAAAATAGGAGATTTTGCAGGAAGTAGCTATTAATATCTATGGAATTCATTATTGATTACATCATAAAATACACATTCGTTTTGTGGTTTGATGATTTAGTGAAAAGAGACGTGAACCTTTTTATCTTTTGAAACCATGACTAAGAGTAGATGTTACGTAATTATTTTCAATCGTTGTCTGCTAAGTGGAAAAATCAATACATGTTATTTTTTTTTCAGACACTAAGAAACAAGACTTGAAATGTTTTCTCTAAAAAACATAAAGGCCATTTTATTTTTATAAAGAGATTAGCTGGAAGTCTGAGCTTAATCATGCTTATTCATTGGGTACACTTATTACATAATGATAATTTATCAATTCTTAAGGTCTTAACAGGGAACAAATTGTTGAAGAAATTAGAAGGTATTATGTATAACAAGAATTTTCAAAATATAGTTTTTACATTTATGATGAGCTATGACTTTGTGTGTTATTCTCATGTTCAAGTACTTAGAAAAATCCCCAAAGTTTGCATTCTGTCAGAGCTTTAATGATTTAAAAGCTTTCTTGTACTTCATTTGTAAAATTGTATTTTATAATTTTTTAAAATTTTTGTAAAATACAACATATTTTACAAACTCACTTCTAAAGCTGGATAAAAGTAGAGGTTTCTATAAGAAAAAGTGAACAATACTACTTTTATATGAAAACAAAAGTCTACTAAGATATTTAATTTCACAAAGACTCATACATTCAAATGTGCTTAGGAATTGAAGAGAAAGAGTGTTCTCCTAATTACTCACTTTCACAGGAGATTATCTGGATGATTTATTGTAATTCAGTCGCACATACACACACACACACTTTCACATTTTATTGCCCAGGGGCGCTTGACTATCTCAGTCAGTGGAACGTTTGACTCTTGATCTTGGGGTTGAGAGTTTGAGTCCCACACTGGGTGTAGAGATTATTTAGAAAATAAATAAAATCACATTTTACTGTCCATCTTATAAAGAGCCGCTCCAACTTCCAAAACCTTGAATGGGCAAAATGGTTGAAATAGAGTGATTATCAAGTTACCCATAATGATGTAACAAAGATGTGTTAGGATGTAATGAAGTCGGGGCACCTGGGTGGCTCAGTCAGTTAAGCATCTGCCTTTGTCTCAGGTCATGATCTGATCCCAGAGTCCTGGGATTGAGCCCTCTGTCAGGTTCCCTGCTTAGTGGCGAGTCTGCTTATCCTTCTCATTCCACACCTCCTCCCCAGCTCATTCTCTCTCTCTCCCTCTCTCTCCAATAAACAAATAAAATCTTAAATAAAAAGATGTCATAAAGTCAACTGGGTGAAGTTTCATATACTATAAGCCACTGCTACCTTATAAAATACCTTTGCAAGGGAAAAGAACTATGAAAGTAAATGTCCAGCATCTCTGAAATAGTTTAGTTTATATCAATAAGGAAAATGGAATGACTTATCCATTTGAGTTGTAACTTAATGTTCCAACTTTAACAGATTCATTAAGTTTCTAAATCAGGGATTGGGAAAATTTTTTTTATAAAGAGCCAGATAGTATTTTAAGCTTTGTGAGCCAGGCACTCTGTCACAACTATTTAACCATACCATGGATGTGTCAAAGCAGCCATGAACACTATGTAAGTGAAGGGGCACGGCTACATTCTGATAAAACTTTATGTGTTAAAAGAGAGATGGCAGGCCAATTTCTGTTCTAAATTATTTGTTCCTTAAGTTCAGAACACAATATAGCTTCTGGGTACAACAAAAGAAGCTTAGTCCATGAGTGTGGACACCTATTCAAGAAGTAAAATTTCTCTTCCCTTTTCTTCTGGGCTCTCAGGTATGACCCGGATGGCCTGGGCCGTCTTATATACCTGTGTCCCCTGAATTATGAGTGTTGGTGTTCAAGGCTATATTTAAGCAAAGCTTGATCACAAGACCGCGTTCTCCAAAAATGACATGGAGTCAGCATATGGTCAGAGTGGGGAGAAGTTTGTCAGGAAATCTGCCTTGTAAGATGTAAATCTTAGACCTGTTCTAAAAGAACAAAGGTGGGTATGAGCTTGAAAAGATGCATCAGGGAAAGAATAGTTAGAGGATGATGAGATGAGCCACGTGGTGGTGGTGGCGGGGTGGCAAGGATGAGAATGAATAGATCTATGGAGGAAGAGAGGAGAGCTGCCAGAACTGGCCAGTATGGAATCATGGTTGAGAGTCTGGGCTCTGGAACCCACATAACTGGCTTTGGATCTCAACTCATTCACTTTCTTAGGCCAGTGACTCAAACTTGCTGTGTCTCAGTGTTTTCAGTGGTAAATTGGGAGTAATACTAGCGCCTACCTTGTGAGATTACAAGGCTGGGATGAACTGAAACATGGTGGACACCAACAACAGTACCTGGCCTGTGGTTAGAAGTCAATAAAGCTTTAGAAAACAAGAGTGGAAGGAAAAAGAGAGAACTGTTTTCAGAGCAGCTGTGCTGAGAGAGCAGAAAAACCTCACAGCTAAACTTTCTACACTGGAAGGAAATGATTTACATGTCACTCTTCGATGATACAAAGCTTTTTCCAGTAAGAATTCCTAGTCATAGCTGCTGACTAGATATTACCGAAAATGTAGACCTAATCCTGAGAATGCGGCATCATTTCTTATAGTTTTCCTCAGCAATGTGCATCTCCTTCGACATAGAATGCACTGTATGCAGCATTCCTGAACATCAGTGTAAAGTGAGGTCATGACTTGTCATGGGTACATCAGCAGAAAGGAGAATGTGGAACCCAAAGTCATTCTCCAGTCACTACCTTGGTAGCTGGCAAGATGACCCTGGGGGTAAGAGGGAGGTTGGGAACTGGGAGAGGGTGGTGACAGAATTTTTAGTTTCCAGCTGCTAGCCAAACAATTTCCTTTGTGGATGCTTGCCAGGTTAGTTTATACAATTTTTGGGAAATTGGAGAAGTGGTCATAGATTATAGTAACTTAAAAAAAAAAAGAAGAGGAAGAAAGAGAAAAAGGTTTAAAAAGGGGGGGAATTTTGGATGATGCAAACAAGCCTTTCAGAAATATTCCTTCCAAAATAATGAATAAATAAGTCATTCTAATCCATTTAAAATCCAGGTCTCTCTAAAGATGAGAGCAAAGTAAGAATGTAGATGGAAGAGTTAGAAATCGTTATCCTGAAATCCCCCAGCACTGCCCCCTCTTTAATCTTTGTGGTTGAAATGGGGATCCCAAAGTACCCAAGATCAAGGGATATTGCCCTATTTCCCACAACTGGTGGGACGTGGAGATGACTGCTTTTTCATCTGATGAGAAGTAATAATATCCATCTTTCCTGTTAATGTGATTTCCAGGTCATTCCAGCAGCAACAATGTCCTTGGCAGCAAGAAAAAGAGCGTGCTGCAACAACAGAACTGGAGTGAGTATGGTGCCGTGGGCCTGGAGCCAAGGCACAGGAACGGTTAATCACTGATGTGTCAGCAAAGCTTCTCGAGTCATCAGTATTTGCCCAGCCAGTGGCAGACCACAGTCTTAGGAACATGCAATCTACAATGATTATGTGATAATGTGGAAAGTGTGAAGTCTGTCTGTCTGTCCTTTTCTTTCTTCCTTCCTTCTTTCTTTCTTTTCTTTTTCTTTCTTTCTTTCTTTCTTTCTTTCTTTCTTTCTTTCTTTCTTTCTTTCTTTCTTTTCTTTCCTTTCTTTCTTCTTTTTCTTTCTCTTTCCTTTCTCCCTTTCTATAAAAACTTAGCTTTGGAATCAGTCTTCACATCTTTCCTCAATCCTCAGTTCCACTAACTGAAAGGTTTTCAAAGAAAGGAGATTTGTAAGTCACATCCAGGGTTGTAAACAATTTCTTAATTCTCAAATACTTGTTATTTTTGTGGTGCATATAAACGACTTCGGAAAGTGTGTCTTCAGGTCTATGAGATTGGTTTGCTAGGATCAGAATAATTGTCCTTATCCAGTGAAAGGAGCAATGGTTATTTTTTTCAAACATTTACTATGTGCCCATTATGTATGAAATTGTAACTAAAAGTAAAGGAAGTGAATATTTACTAACCTTCTGTTACTATGCTCAGAACACTTCCAACAATACAATCCTATTTCTCTCAAACCACTAAGTGGGAAATATTATGCTCTCTGTTTCATTGACTGAGAAATTGATCCTCAGAGAAAATAAATAATTTACCATGGTAGCATAGCTAGTAAGTAGGTGAATTTTTATCCAACTCCATTGGACTCCAAAATTCACAATCTTTACACTATTTTTGCCATAGCCATTGTTATTAAGTAATGCTGAGGACTTTCCATATTCTCTAAAGAAGGGGGTAGATTAATAAACAAGCAGTCATAGTAAATATCCTGGCTGAGCTTAAGGTTTTAAAGCAGTGGTGCTTAGCCTTATGAGAACATTAGAATCATCCAGAATGATCTTAAAAACATCAATGCCTGGTGGCCCCCAGAGACTTGGCATTTTTCAAAAGCACCCTAGATGATTCTAATGAGAATCAGTGTTTAAAAGCGTACATATTTATATCTGTATTACATATTTGTATTTTTAAAAATTACCATTTTCTGACATTTGATATTTATCTAGGATTATTACTTTGCTAACTGTTTATAGTCCATCTTTGTTCCTGCTACACCATAGATATTCAGTAAATATTAGTTTTGTTTCTCCCCTCTGGCACTTTTCTTTTTAAATTATAATTTGTAGTTTGGCTTTGTATTACCTCTGTATTGTACTTACATTCTTGAGAAAGATATCTTGAGATATGTCTAAGTCCCTGAACTCTGAAATATCAGAACACTTCTATAGATTTTTGTCTCAAATCAAATTTCCATTAAGAATCTTTTCCCCCTACATATCCATTAAATGATGTCATCTTTTTAATGATTGCTTACGTTTTTTGTCTTTGGAGGACAGTAAGTAGAGAAAAACCAAGATACTTTTTCATGCAGGTGTTGGGCTTAACTCAGCAGGTTTTACCCCCCTACCAACCTTGAAAATCATTGGAATTCATGCTTCAGCAACATTACAGATTATTACGCGCCAAGGAGCGACAGGAACTCTGGAGTGTCCAGGGAGGTGGCGGGGTCGCTATATAATAATGCTCATGCTATATTAATAATAATGGTGCTGGCTATTTAATTACAATTTCCAGTTTATATTGATTAGATGCAATAAAGTGTCTGTAGGCACTTTTCTCACTTTGTGACAGTCATGGGAAGACTGGAATTTAAGTCATACCATGTATCTTCCAAATCTAGAAAAGACCAAAGCATCATAAAGGCGACAAAGGCTGATAAAGTAAAGGGGTGGGAGATGGTCACCAATGCTTTTCTCCTGTATTAACTGTTCCAACTATTTCCCACACTTTAACTGTTCCTTGCTCCTTCCCTTTGTCCAATTCTTGATGTTTGTTTCCAAATGCTTTGGTTTTGTTGAATCATTTACATGAACCCCCACTCAGGGGAATTCAGATCCCCAGAATCACATCCTACAGCCAGGCCATCCTGTGGTGATAAGATGTTAGAAACAATAAGTGACCAAAAAATAAATAGTGCACTTCTTGACGAGCAAATTAAGTAACTTGCACAGACCACAAGTATTGTGGAAGAATGTGGATTTGAATTCAACTCCAAATCCATCATTGTGTGCTTTTAGCTGGAAGTATTCTGCTGTAGTGATTAAAACCTGAGCACTAGCATTTCCAGGCTGTGAGATTTGGACACATTTTCCAGGCTTCCTGAATTTATATTTTTCTCATCCATAAAGTCGGAATCATAGTATCTATCTCTTGGGGCTATTGAAAAAGTTAAGTAAGGTAATATATGTAAAGCCCAATATCCTACAACATATAAAAGGTACATGAGGTAGCCATTCATTTTGCCTATTTATTAAAGGTGGGTCTCCTAAACCCTCTGGGAATGGCAGTATTAGCATATCAAGGGAAAAGTATTCCTTCATTTTGGCATAATTTTAATTCTTAATTATCATTGACGAACGACTTCACTGAAACAACATAGAGCTTTTTTGGAAAGCATACACGTATACCAGCTTTCATTTGGGCCATAATGTTTCCTATTAGCACATTCCATGCTTTTTTCTGCTTTTTCTGACTCTCATTCATGAAATGAAAAGATGCTTAAAGGTTTACAATCTTTCTCCCTAACACAATATGGTTCTCCACTGGAGGCAAGTCCTGCTCTCTAGAGGGACATTTAGGCAGTGTCCAGGACACTTTTGGTTATCAACAATTTGGAAGGGTGGACGGACTGCTACTGGTATCTAGTGGGTAGAGACCAGGGATGCTACCAAACAACCCAGAATATACGGAAAGGCCCCCAAACAAAATGCCCCATGTCAGCAGTGCTGAGGTAGAGAAACTCTGTGCTTAACACACCATTGATTGATCCCTGCAGAATGTGGACCACTGGCCACTCACAGCATCGGGGCCAAATCTGGATGAAAGACTTGGGGAGTCGAGACCAGACGACAAAATATGGGGAGTCTAATCCAGGTTCTGTTTAGTAGGAAGTACACAGAAAGGGGGGAGGAGATACCGGATGTCAGTGGTCCCTTGAAAAGGACAAGGCTCAGATATATAAAGGTGTAGATTTTCCGGAGACAGTGGCAAGCCCAACAATCTTTGAGAGAGCCTAATCAAATGGTAGAGACTCTGCCTTCCTTGTTCTTTGATAATTCAGACTTGATCAAACAGAGATCTTAAGACTTAGGACTGCAGGGCCTGGAGACCAGCAGCAGTTGATCAGGAGCCTTTCATGTGCTGCTGACTCTCGAAACAGACCAGGGACACATAAGAACATGTGCCAATGCTCCTCCTTTACTTTCCAGATGCTTCTGTCATCACTTCTGAATGTAATCACGATCATCGGTGCCGTGTATTGCATATTGGTGTCTACCCACGCTCTCATAGAAGGTCCCCTCATTTGTAACTCTCAAGAGAACAGCACTTCCAACTGTGAATTTTCATTCAGTAACTTAAGGTGAGTATCCTGATTTTCACGGATTATCTCATGTGCTGCGGCTAGTTTGATGAAAATAGTGTGGTGCTAACCTGGTGCCATGTTGTTCTTTGATGGAATGACTGGAACACAGATTATTCGGGATTTAAGCATGTTCACCCCAATTGGACAATCTCATGGAAATGGAGGAACCACTACATTCAGAGTGGTTTGGGGTGGGGGTGGAGTCTTGCCTAAAAGAAGTAGTTGACTCAGCTGCCTTATCCTTGTCTTTAAAAAATCTGTGGCTGCATGGGTGTATGTGTCTAGAAAATTTCTAGAAATATACAGCAGAGACTTAACTTTCGTCCTTGGAGAATGGCAGTGGAGGATGTCCTGGGGAAGTGAAGGGAGCACTGGCTTTCTACACTTCTGAACTAACCCAATCTCTAAGTCCTAAGCAAATGTTATCTTTATAATTTAAAAAACTGAATAAAGACACAATACATAAAATACAGGGCCTTACCTATAAGTCCTAAAAGAAACAAACACAGTCAATGGATTCATGTAGATGTACTATAAATATACTGTGAGCATAGGAATGAATCCAGTTTAACTTGTACAGTGACAATACTGAGGAGTTACTTGTAAATGGCTTATATTGGTCTTGTAAGATGGTTCTGTGCTGGAATTCCAGGCACTATCTGTAAAACTGGAAGAAAAGAACAATCTAATTCTCAGTTATCTATATAATTGCACAGTTTGGAAAATAACCAGAATTCACTTTTGTAATTACAGGAAAAAAAAATCCCTTTCTTTTATCTTGCTATCTTAAAAAAGAAAAATCTCTCAAAATTTGCATACTGTAGTTGCTGTGAATCAAAAAAAATTTTTTTAAAAATTCCCTTTCCCAGTAGATTTGAAGTTTAAAATAAGAGATTTCAAGCACAGATGCTACACACAGTCAGCCCTTAGGAGAGAATAACTCACCAGGCACCAGGCTAAGCTCTGGAGGTAAGAGCCACTCTAGTTGGGGAGACACAGTCACAGAAACAGTTACAAGACTGATCCTATGTTTGCTGAAAACTGCAAAAAGCATACTCCTATTCCATGTGCTGAAAATACTGTTGTCTTCCCAGGATAAATGTCAGTTGTGGGTATCCAGAAATGCAAACTCTCTAAGAACACTTAGCCTTACTCTGTAGTAAACCGAGAAAAAAAAATCATCTTAGGATAGATCATGTTAGAGCTAGAAGTCTCTGGTTTTCCATACCTTGTTATAATGGGTACAAATCCCTTTAACCAGACATTTTTAGCGTGACTTTTGCCAGTAAAAGTTGTATAGCTGGTTTACAGATGCAACACTGCGGTTTTGTACTAAGAATTGAGCCCTGTGAAGGGGGAGGGGCTCCTTAATGCTCATGTCTTTAGCAAAGTAGAACTCCTGCATAGAGTCATAGGAGATTAATAATATTCAGCCATTTCTGACATAGAAAATTTTATATAGCTCAACCTAAGAGTAGGTACTACAGAAATGCTGGTTGAATGATAGGAGATATACTCAAGTTTCATAACTATCAGAGTCCATGGACACATGATCTGAAATCCTGATCTTAGCTATCGTTTCTGGGCCCAGTATTTTGAAACACTTGCTGGTTTATTATACTTGCCCTTTTCTGGGCATGATGATGCTTTCTTTTCATGGTAAGTGATATTCCTGAAAATCTATCATTTCTTTCATTTCAGTGACACTCATCCAGAGTTCTTCAATCTTCAGTGGTTCTACAAGGAGTCTTGCATAGCTCCTACTGATTACACTAATCTCACCGTGAACAGCATCATGCCCAGTGGCTGGAGAGAACACAGCTTACACTTCAATTCTAAAGAAAACAAACACCGGACGATCCATTTAACAGTGTTTTTAGGCCTACTGCTTGTCGGGATTCTTGAGCTCCTGGTTGGGCTCAGTCAGATCGTCATTGGTTTCCTTGGCTGTTTCTGTGGAGTCACTAAGAGGAGAAATAGAATTGTATAATTTAATGGTAATAAAATGGAAATATTAGCAGTTTGAATCATTTGAGAAATGCACTTAAAAGACACTCCTTTAGAAGTTCAAAAATGGAAAACAGTCTAGAAAACTGTAGGAGTCATTTAGGCCAAGTTACTTTTACTTTTATGTATAAAGTAAAAACAATCATCCATGGTTGACTTTGAGGAAAGGTGGAGGGAAGTTTTCAATTTGTTTTATATCTTTCTATACTTCTGTCCTAGTCACATTTTTAAATTCTATTTTCTTGTGTGTGGAAGGAGAAGGGGGGGTGGGTGAAGGAAAAGGAAGATGGGGAGGGATGGAGGGAGGACAGAAAGGAACAGAAGATATCTTGGAAGTGAAAATATGGGACTTTTTTTTTTTTTACTGTATTTCTTTACACTTTAAAAAAAAAAAAAGAACAAACAGATGACCTGAATGTTTTTAGACTTGATTTCCAGCTTACAGGCAACCCACGGAAGAGGAATTACTCAGACAAATCCAAACGGTAGGGTGGTAGATAGACAATAGCCCTATTTTCAGCAAGAAAATATATATGAAAAATAGAAAGTGGGATGGGCTGTGGGAACTATAAATAAAGAGACAGGGTTCAATGAAATGTGTGTTCTGTAGATTCTGCTGGGGATAACTGGGGAGACCTGTACAAGGAGTGCTTTAGGGGGACACCTGTCTGGCTTAGTCAGTGGAGCATATGACTCTTGATCTTGGGGTCATGAATTCAAGCCCCATGTTGGGCATAAAGCCTGCTTAAAATAGATTAAAAAAAAAAAGGATTGGTTTAGGTGATGTCAATTATTGCTAGCATTTTTAGTCCTGACAATAATTTCATGGTTATGCAGGAAAATGTTCTTAATTTAAAAGAAATGTGTATATGTTTAGGGGGAAATGTCATGTTTTTAAAATACTTTAGCCAAAAATATGAAGCAATGGAAAAATATTGTTAAATTTAGGTGACAGGTACATGGCAATCCACTACACTCTTCTAAGTTTTCCCGTTTGCATTCCTTCACAATTAAAAAAAGATAAATGCTTAGAAAAAAAAGTCTTTCAAAAGCTGCTTTCTATGTATGCATTCTTTTTTTTATATATGCATTCTTTAAAAGATAACAAAACTGTGCATTTACCATATTAAAATGTTATAAAACAGACAAAACTGAAAATCCAATTTTCTGAATGTGACCATTCCTGTATTTTATTTCGATTATTTATGTTTACTGGGCTTAAGGTTTTATAAATAATTTTCAATACTTATATTATAGTTGCCCCCCCAAATTAGTAACATCAAGAACACACGCAGGAATTTTTTTTTTTTCCTGAATCTACTTGTTGTATAAAGACCTACTCCCTATACTCCTTTATAGGCCTGTTTATCCTTGAGGTCTTGCTTAAGGTCTAGCTTAACGGTCTCCTACTTGAGAAAGCCTCCCCAGGGTGCAGGATTCCAACAAACTAGGTTAGCACTTACCAAAACCACTGTTATCACACCTGTCACAAAGTAACATAAATGTTTGTGTGTCCACTACCATGGGAAAATGTAAGAGAACAAGAACTATGTCCCTCTCATCCATTTATTAACATTTTTTTAGCTTTCATTTAAATTCTAGTTAACAAAAAGTGTATTAGTTTCAGACGTAGAATTTAGTGATCAATTGCGTATAACACCCAGTACTCATCACATCAAGTTCCCTCCTTAATGCCCATCACCCAGTTACCCCATCCCCCCACCCACCTCCCCTCCAGCAACCCTGTTTGTTCCCTATAATTAAGAATCTTATAGTTTGCATCCCTGTTTTTTAATCTTTTTTCCCTTCCCTTCTCCTATGTTCATGTTTTGTTTCTTAAATTCCATGAGCAAAATCCTATGGCATTTATCTTTCTCTGACTTATTTCATTTAGCGTAATATGCTCTGGTTCCATCCACACTGTTGCAAATGGCAAGATTTCCGCCTTTTTGATATCTAATATTCCATTGGATATATATCCCACATCTTTATCCATCATCAGTTGATGGACATTTGGGCTCTTTCTATACCTTGACTATTGTAGATAATGCTGCAATAAACATCGGGGTGCATATGCCCCCTTTGAATCAGCATTTTTATTTCCTTTGAGTGAATATCTAGTACTCCAATTGCTGGGTTGTAGGCCAGCTCTATTTTTAACTTTGTGAGGGAGTTTCATACGGTTTTCCAGAGGGCCTGCACCAGTTTGCACTGCCACCAACAGTGTAAGAGAGTTCCCTTCTCCTCATCCTTGCCAACAACTGTTATTTCTTGAGTTGCTAATTTTAGCCATTCTGACCAGTGTAAGATGGCATCTCATTGTGGTTTTGATTTGTATTTCCCTGACAATGAGCGATCTTGAGCATTTTTTCATGTGTCTGTTGGCCACTTGTATGTTGTCTTTGGAGAAACATCTATGTCTTCTGTCCATTTCTTAACTGAATTTTTTATTTTTTGGATGTTAGGTTTGGTAAGTTCTTTATAGATTCTGGATACTAGACCGTCAGCCAATGTCATTTGCAAATATCTTCTCCCATTCTGTCGGTTGCCATTTAGTCTTGTTGACGGTTTCCTTTGCTGTGTAGAAACTTTTTATCCCGATGAAGTCCCAATAGTTCATTTTTGCCTTTGTTTCCCCTGCATCTGGAGATGTTGAGTAAGAAGTTGCTGTGGCTGAGGTCAAAGAGGTTGCTGTGTCCTCCTCTAGGGTTTTTGATGGATTTCTGCCTCACATTTAGGTCTTTTATCTGTTTTGAGTTTATTTTTGCATATGTTATAAGAGAGTAGTCCAGTTTAATTCTCTTGCATGTTGCTGCCCAATTTTCCCAAAATCATTTCTTAAAGAGACTTTTTTCCATTGGATATTCTTTCCTGCTTTGTCGAAGATGAGTTGACCATAGAGTTGAGGGTCCATTTCTGGTTTCTCTGTTCTGTTCCATTTATCTGTGTGCTGTTTTTGTGCCAGTACCACACTGTCTTGATGATCACAATTTTGTGACACATCTTTGAAGTCTGGAATTGTGATGCCTCCAGCTTTGGTTTTCTTTTTCAACATTACTGTGGCTGTTTGGTTCCATAAAATTTTAGGCTTGTTCTAGTTCTATGAAAAATGCTGGTGTTATTTTGATAGGGATTGCACTGAAGGTGTAGATTGCTTTGGGTAGTATAGATATTTAATATTATTTTTCTTCCTATCCCTGAGTACATAATGTTCTTCCATTTTTTTGTGTCTTCCTCATTTTTTTTCGTATGTGTTCTCTAGTTTTCAGAGTACAGACTAGTATTCCATCGTACCTGTCTCTATATATACACATCTTCTTTGTCCATTCATCAGTCGATGGACAACTGGGGTCTTACCATATTTTGGCTATTGTGGACTTGCTACTATACACACTGGGGTCCAGGTGCTCCTTCAAATCACTATTTTGTATTCTTTGGATAAATACCTAGTAGTGCAATTGCTGAGTCATAAGGTAGCTCTATATTTAACTTTTTGAGGAACTTCTTTGTTGCTTCCGGTCCTTAGTAAGGTCTCTCTTCTGCCCAGTCCCCACTCATCTACTCTCTGGCGAAGTCCTCTTCATCCTTCAGCACAACCATCAGGTTTTTCTGAGGGGCCTTCCCTAGCCACCTAATGAAGATTTCCCTTTACTGTCTCCTTTAGCATTCAGCCATTGATAGCACTCATCACAATGGGTAGTACTCATCACAATGGCAACAAGCACTTTTATTTGTGCTTGTTTCTTAAATTTCACTCTCCTTCCATAAGACCATAAGCTCCATGCATCCAGGCATGTTTCTTTTATTCACTCCCAGTATATTTGGTGCCAAGTACAGTGCCTGATACAAAGTAGGGCAATTATAAATATTGTGTTGAATGAATCAACGAATCTCGTCGTTTGTACTCAGATTTTAGTGAGAGTCAGTGCTTACTGAGTGAATGCCACACTGCTAATAGTCATAAAATTAAAACGCAAATGAAACGAACATGACGGCTCACCGGACTTGACTGAACAATACAAGGGTTGGTGATTGTGCACCCAATCTTCTCATCACCTTGGAAGTGGGTAAGATGACCGCAGTTCTCCACAGTCATGAAGAGACAGAGATCTATGCCTCTCATTTCAGAGGGCAAAAGAGAGGATGGTTGGTAGTAGCACAATCATCTGAAATGGCTGGGAAGTGATTTCTTTGCTATTGTAGTCTTGTGGAAACTATTGCCATGGATCAAATGCTGAAAGCCTATGGGCCACCTGTAGTTAAGTATCTTTTGGGGTAATGCCATCCCTGCTCTGGTACTTAACCTTACAAATGCATGTATGTACACACAGTCCACATTTAGTCATTTATAAAGCTCACTGATCTTTTTTCACTTCCATCCCCATGTGCAATCGCATTTTGGAATCTTTACACTTTCATTTTTTTGCTGTATCCACCACCTGAAACCCTCTCCTATCCTTACCCTTCAGCCTAGATCTCAAGCTCCTCCTCCACAATAAATTTTGATAATCCTCTAATTCTTTAATAAACCTCCCCTCCCCCACCGCCATGAACCTGTCGGTTCCTAACGGTCAGGGCTTGTGGCCGACCTGCTCTATAACCACTACAGAAGTCAGTGCAGTGCGCACACGAGTTTCTACTTACTGATACAACAACACATTGTTTAAATAAACAGCAGTTATGGTAAATTACATCTTTCTTAGCTTGATTTCAGTGTCAAACATAATTAAGACACCAGAAAACAGACATTCATACCACGAAGGAAGGAAAGCTCTCGCCAATGTATTTTCATGAAATTATCCCTCAAACTGTAAATAACCTATGTTTCAGTATTTTCAGAAGTAGGAAAAAAAAAAATCTTTAAGTAGAATTCTGTACTAAGTTGTATGATACTGGCCTGTTAGGTTGAGCACTGTATTCCTCTTTACTGGCCCTCACTGCAAAGTCTTCTCCTGCCGTTCCCTGCCCCAGGAACCTTTTCTTCATTTTCTGATTTTTGAAATCTCACACACACACACACACACACACAAACATGTGTATATATATATGTACACACATATATACGCACACACATACATATACATATATGCACATGTATTTCAAGGTTCAGCTCAAATATCTACAAGTATTTCCTGACCATCCTGAGCAGGAATGAATTTGTTCCTCTCAAGTCCAAAACTACTTTGTTACTGTGATGAATAATTTCCAGGCGAGGGAGGCTGGCATAACAGAGCTTGGCTTTGGATTGAGAGACTCAAGCTTTTCTATTTTTTAGGTCTGTGACAAGGCAAAGACATGTTTCTCTATTATCCCCTTTTGGGTGGTAGTTGATTTCCTGTCCACCTGTTCACTGAGGGAAAAGTCTTGAGGTCCCAGCTTCACAAAGGAATCTCCTGTCAGAGCTCCTGCCTTGCCTAAGACATGGGGCTGTATGCTCCCGCCCCCTGCACAGCCACTGAGGGAGAAAGCTCTCCAGGGTTTGGTAAAAATTAACAGGGAGAAAGACAGCTTTTGTATTTGCTTATCTCCTAGAATGTCTGCTTTTATTTCATTTTTGGCCCTAGCAGAATCTTTTTCATGCCTGCCCAGAAGTAGTACTAATTTTATCCATCGTTTGTATCATTTTTGTGGATTCAATTGGATCACTCAGAAATTATCCTGATATATATATATATATATATATATATATATATCCTGTATATAGCTAGATTTAATATAATCATATCATTAGGCTGTTATAAAAGCCAGAAGATTTTCATGGGCAAAAAATAAATAATTGTCATCAAACTCATCATAAACTCTAGGAAGCAAAGAGAAGAATCCCTTCTCCAAGTATTTTATTTTGGAAGGCTAGGGGAGAAGCAAGAACAGAAACATTAAATCTACCTCTATCTGAGGAATTCTCAACTGCGTTTCCTGAAACTGACAGCTTCGGTAGAAAGGTCTCGAAGATGTGTGGCAAATACTATATCTAACTAAAATTCTGTTTCTGAATGTAAGATAGAGTGGAATATTCTGAGAGCTAAGGCTCCCAGGAATTGGTTCATGGGTGCACTTAAAGCTCATGAGATTTAGTATCTCAGCCAAATACTAAAATGCAAAAAGCACACATAGTTCAAGTTTTCATCTGAACCACTTGATAGATACTAGGACTCAGAAAACCACCTACAAATGCTACCAGCGCCTCCTGCTGCCAGGATGGAGATCGGAAAGGAAACACAGCAGGTTCTTGCTACCAGCCAAGTCATTAATTGCGTTACCTCCTCCAGAGCCAGGAAGACTAGGGTCCATTAATGGTAATATGATATGGAATATAGCTCACAGCACAATATGAGGAAATAAAATTTTTCGACAAACATTGCTTTAGTTGACAGTTTATTAAATACACTACATTTGTACTTTATTCTGTAGTTTTTTTAAATCATTCACACAGGGACTTAGTAAAAACGTACTTTATAGAAAACCATCTGCAAAACTAAAATAAAAATAAGAACGCACATTTTACACACATATCAGATAAACTGCTGGAAATCTTAGGAATTATTTTAATGAAGGTGATTGTAAGACATGAAGTGCCTCGACTTTATCAAATCTGACACCAGACCATGACTTCAGAAGTGTTAATGTTGAAACGTGGATGCAAAAATGTCTATTAACAAAACTGTTCGATCTAACAGTGCTTGAGAAACAGGACAAAATAAAGTATTATTTTTCTTCTACAGATACTTTTCTAAATCCATTTGCTAAGCACTCTCCCTCTCATTCAGAGAATTAATTGTGCGGGCTGATGAGGCAATGAAAAAACAAACTAGAGCCTATTTACAAAACATGCAAAGGGAGAATTTTAAGTAGGTGTTTGTTACTGCAGAACTGCTTAAAAGTGACTACAGCTGAGTGAGAGTTATCAGTCCTCCCCCCTCCTTTCTGGAAGAAATACATGTTCAGGGCATGGACTATAAAACGGCATACAATGCAAAGACAGAAACAAAGAAGTTTGCAAATTCTTTATATTTCCAGCTGTTGAGACAATATTTTTGAGAGCTGAGGTTACCTCTAGCGGCGAAACCAGAGCCAGCTATTAAGCAGCCAGAATGCTACAGTAATTGAATACATGACCATTTCTCTTTTAGCACGCTCTTTGTTCTCCTCTTCTAGAAGCTGTAGACGTCTATTTAGTTTGATTATCTAAGTGAAAAACAACAACAAAAGGGGAACTTTAATGCAAGGAACAATTAGGTTCTTATAAAGCAGTAGGATTTTTTCAGAAAAATTCTCATAAACATGGAAAGTTTCATTTGGGACAAAATAAACTACATGTAGAAAAAGTATTACCCATGACAGTTTAAATTCACTGAAATCATCTTCTCCTTTTTCTTTCTCCAAATTTCTGAGTCAGAAAAAATGCATTTTTCCCTTCCTTGATTAAATGTGAGGTGAGGAAACTATTGCATACTGCATGCTATTCGGGCAGAGAAGACCAAGTACACATTCAGGCAGGCCTAGCACAGCAGAAAGGACAAGGAGGGCTCCTGCTCCTTTCTATAAGCTTATTTGGTCCCATGGGATACAGGGTTCTTACCCTAAACAATCCATTTTACTGCCAATGAAAAAAATTGGCATTGATTTTGCATCATTAAAATATTTTTATCTGGGCTTATCTGAGAAGCATCAACACCAACTTTTGAATATTTCACTCTGAGAGTGGGTTACATTTTGTCTTGAAGCCAGGTGGCCCATGAGTTCCTTGCGCCTAGACTAGACAAAACGGACTGCAGGTTGCTGAGTATCCACCTTGGCAACAGAGCAAAGACAGCTGCAGAAGCAGTGGCTTCCAACGCTGCCAGGGTCACAAATGGGAATTCTGTAGAATCTTCTCAGGACTCCGTTTTCGTTACTGATCTCAGAAACTCATAGTTTCCCAGCTGGCTTTCTACTATTTTTAAATTCTCACAGAATGTGTGTGACTTGTTTATAATGACTGTATCTTTGTCCTCTACTCATTTACCCTCTAAGCTAAGGATTGAATGGATGTTGTTAAAACTTGGAAGCTCTTAATACATTCTCAAAAAGCCAAGGTTGTTGGTGTACTGGTGAATTCAACGACAAATGCCAAAGAAACTCCTCTTCTTCAAAGGCAAGGTGCAAATAAATATATGAAAATACCTAAGAACTTATAGCATCCATTTGTTTTAATAAGTGTGACTCCATATACAAAAGTAATATTTCGGGGGGCCCACGTGGCTCAGTGGTTTAGCGCCACCTTCAGTCTAGGGCGTGATCCTGGAGACCCGGGATAGAGTCCCATGTCAGGCTCCCTGCATGGAGCCTGCTCTTCTGTCTGTGTCTCTGCCTCTCTCTCTCTCTGTGTGAATGAATGAATGAATAAAATAAAAATTTTAAAAAAGTAGTATTTCCAGGGCACCTGGGTGGCTCAGTTGGTTAAGCACCTGCCTTCAGCTCAGGTCATGATCCCAAGTTCCCTGCTCAGCAGGGAGTCTGCTTCTCCCTCTGCCTCTTGGTTTCAGCTTAGGTCATGATTTTAGGATTGTGAGATCAAGCCCTATGTCAGGCTCCAAGCTCAGAGAGCAATCTGCTAAAGTTTCTCTCTCCCCCTACCTTTCCCTGTGCTTGCTCATGCTCACTTGCTCTCTAAATAAAATAAATAAATCTTTTTTTAAAAAATGGAAAAGTCTATTATGGTGCATTAAACAGCTTGACAAAATATTTCAACTCATGGCTTCCGCAGGAGAGAAAAATGATAGAATGTTACAAATCATCATTTAAAATACTGTCTGAATAGAATTTAGGATCACATCCTGTTTGTTACATTAAATACCTGTCGTCTTAATGAAGCTGCATCTACAACAGTCATGTCGTCTGAAGTTCCTTCAATTGTTGTATCTATATGCGAAATGCCATGCCTAGCAGATAAGAAATAAAAATACAATTTAATATTAGAATAGAACTAAGTATCTGGCAAGTCATGTCACGTGTGGGGCAACGCTCAAAGAACTGTTCAAAAGGCTGATTATTTCACAATGTGAGTAACTAAAATATTTTACCATCTGAACTGGCATTAACAAAGGAAAGCAGAAGAAAAAGCAAAAGTATTTTGAGCAATGATTTAAGAGCTGCCACTCTAGGATATAACAATGCATAACTTTTCTACACACTTAACGTGGGCATGTAGTTCCCCAGGAGTCCCCGCTGAGACCCACTGGCAGGGAACACAAAGTAAACTAATTCTAGCTAAAAAAACAAGACAGACCTTTTTATTTCTCCCATCTTCTTACTGCCTCTTCTCTTGCCACATCTACTCTTTCTTTATTTCTAATTACCTATCTTGACTGCGTCTCCCACAGAAGCAATGATAAAGTCACTTGAGGACATCTTGTCACTACATTCAGATCCAGAACTGGCTCCATGATAATCACTAAGAGGCTGCGTATAAAATAATACTGGAAATCCACTAACAACACCTCCAGAGAAGGCACAGTCAAAACTACTTTTGCATTGACAGTTACTGCTGAAAGAGCACTGATTTTTAAGCGCATGATGAAAAACCTCTGAGAAACAAATACACACAAATGATGTTCTTCCCCTTTGCCTGCATTTCCACTTCTTAAGCTTATTTTAATTAACGGCTTAACTGAGATATAATTTACATGCCATATGATTCACCTCACATGTTTATATCCTCATTATTTTAATCCTGTATGGTTATTTCAGTACCATGGCATGGTAACTTTCCTGAATGAGAATATAAATAAATTGAATTAAAAAGTAACTCTTTTGTGATCCACAGAGAATTGACACATGGATCACATATTCTGATCTTCCAAGCAAGTCCCCATTACAAAATGCACATTACCACACAAAGGGGTCTGAAGAGAATTATAGCTTTCATCCAGAGATGTTAAGGACAAGTCTATGCAGAAAATCCTTTTGTTTCATATGCTGTTGAAAATTTAATAAAATATGTAGAACAGAATTTCCTATTTCATAATCTTCCAATGTGTTCCCAGCCAGGGTCATCATTCTAAACACCGAGGATAACAACTTGTGTTGCAGTTTCAAAGACTGACAGTGTGCGTGGACTCTAGATAATCTAGAACAATCTCTAAATGTTCCTTTTATGGCGAAATGAACTTGCTTTCTCATTTAACCACCCCTTTCTTCACCATAAGAGTAAATATCCTCTAATACTGAGAACTGCATCAGTGAGGTAAATTAAGTGAGCAGATGCTGAGATTATGGGTTTATACATTTCTGAGTTATTTATTCGTTTACACATTAAGACAGAATTATTAAAAATTAGAGGAGAAAATAAGGGTTGAAGATTCCTTTTCTCTATACTTGATCTTCAAAATAAAACTTTTCTATTTCCCCAAGATTACCAGTGAGAGATAAAACTGGGCGGGGTGGGGGCAGGACAGGAAGCAGTGGCTTCAAAGGTGAAGGGATCTCAGCCGAACAGAGAAGGAAGTGTAAGTGACAGGGATTGCTCAATTTAACTCTTGAATTAAGTAAAGTGTCAAATATCTGTAAAGGAAATCTTTGTCTGCAAAGAAATCTAAGGATATGGCAATAGGCTTTACCTATAACTCAATTTACAACAGAAAACATCATTACTTTAAGGTGTGTTTTAAACTAAAAGCTGTATTTATCAGAACTAAAAAAATGTTAGAAATGCTAAGTCAGATCAAGGACTGAATGTTCTTTCACAGAAAGAGAAAAGGATCATAAACTTAAGTTCCAACTTTGGGGAACTATGCAAGGGTAAACTTACAATGGATTGAATTAATACTGTGAAAGAAACCAGTCGGCCAGGGTAAGGTGCCACTAAGGACACACGTTTCAGTTCCTCTAACCTGAATTCAGTGTTAAGAAACTGATGTTTCCTTCTTCTCTTGCCTAAAAATCAATATGCCATAATCCTCTCATCATAGAAATAATGCAGTTTTAAATCTCCTGCAACAGATCGTACATTTCTGCTTAAGATAAAATCAGTTCTGAAAAGAATGACAGTAATGGTATCTGTGAATACGAAACAATTTTCTTTTCCCCAGAAGAAGGAAAATGGGGATTTTGGCACCTTAGAACCTTAAGTATTCCTTTGTGCCATTCTATCTGTCCTTGCCCATGACGGGAAGAAATAATTATTCAGGCTGAGAAGCATGTCTGAAAGAGCTAAGGGTAAAAATAAAAGAGGGAAAAGCTTAAATCAACAGGTGACAAAAACCCTTCAAACTAAATTCCTTTTCTAAACGTTGAACTTTCTAGATTGTGAATCCTAATTTCCCCCAATTTAAGGCGATGCCTTACACACAGGTTTCTCTACACACAAGTGACGCTACAGACAATTAACTAAAAAGGAAATGGTAGACAGACCCCCGAGCAACAATTAAAATGATGCACATAAAAGAAGACGACTTTTTGTGTTTCAGTGTGATTCTCTATAAGCCACTAAAACTGTATTTAAATAAAATATCTCAGATGTTCCACGATACCATAACTGTCAAGCATCTTTCTTCAGACTGTAGTAGACAGATGTCATGACTGATCTAACTCACTGTTCTCAGAGAAAAAAGCAGGATGTACTCAGGAAAACTGCAGAAGTTCCCACCATAATATAAAGGCACGGCTACTACATGCATTTTATCCTGCAAAATACAAATACAGTCGACTATTTACCCTGGTAATTACAAAGTCTCAAAATTTACCTGACGTTGTCATGATGAGGATTAGAAGTGGCGGCAGCAGACCCACCACGCAACACAGGTCTAAGGCAGGTTTTTGCGGAAGAAGGCACAAGACAGAATCAGGAAACAGAGAAGTAATAAAATAAAAGCAAAAACAAGACAAAAAAAAAGGTCAAATAGGATTATATTGTATGTTTCAATACAATATAATAGCTTTCAAATACTTTAAAAATCTTTGTTATCACATGGCCTCTGTTTTGATTTTCATAAATTTAATGTTTCACCATAGGTTAAAAAAACAAAAGGAGTCTCTCTTGTGTGACAAGACAGCACAGACATAAAAAAATTTTCTTTGGTGCCTGTATTTTAATTTATGAAATTCAAGATAGAGGACAGCCCAGTCTAAAAAGTTTAATTTCTCTTTTCTAGCTGGAAAAAGAAAATCACCAGCAACTTTAGAAGCATGTCATCGACCGGTCAGTAGCACCTGCATGATCATGGTTGCTCATCTGATAACAGCAGCTCTGTCTTGGAAACTAAACATTTCAAACTAACTCCCATTTCCCCCAATTCCTTCCCACCCACCTCATTCATTTCATTCATGCCTGAGCTCTTAATGGAGCTGTGCCTCATTCAAACCTCAGCTCTCAAGAGCAAACTGCAAGCGTAGGTTCTGGAGCTGAGGTGATCAGAGGACAAGCTTTGGGGGATATGCTATGGCACATTATATATAGAACAATCAAATATATAAGCCTCCTCTTGAGACAACCAGGAGTGACATACAGGGCTGCTGGGAACGAAGACTAACGTACACTGGAAAACTTTGTGGGGATTTTCATGTTTCAGTGCATACTTTGCTTCTAGAGGATAGTTCTCTAACTAGGTGGCAATAACCTTTTCAATTAACTTCATTTTTTTTAACAATCAGAAAACAAATGCTCTCTGTGGTTGCTGGTCAATTCCCCAAAAAGTAGTCAGCAATATTTACCAGAGAAAGGAGGCTGAGTGATAGAGTCCGTATAAGGATTTTAAGAATTATTACGTTCTATTTTAAATGTCTCATTCTCTATGTACTGATGAGATTTGCCTGAACTTAAGTATTAAGGCAATACTTAATTATAGTAAATATTTAATACCAAACAAATTCGTTTTTTCTGTCAGTTGGTACAGCTGTAGAATTTTGGCTACAATACAAATCACTATTTTGTCTGGTTTATTTATACAAGAAAATTTTAATGTTCAGCTTGTACATTTCCTAAAGGCATTACTGGTGCTTAAATTTCTGGAGCCCAGAGGATAAGAGATTCAGAGACTTTTGGGGAAGACATGTTAGACTTCTATCGTGATGGCTAAAGAACAGTGAGAAATCACATATGTTTGAAACAGGCTTTTAAATTGTCCCATCCTACTCATATACTTACTCTGTGGCATTAGGAAAATATACTTCACTACAATCTTACATTATACTAATACAAAAATGGTGAACTAAATGAAGCCCCTGCCGTGTGCTACCCAAAACTCTTACTAAAAAACTCATACTGGTATGTTCAAATGGATCTGCCATACTCAAAATATTCCACCACAGAGATTTCCCTTTTATAATGCAGAGCCAGAAAATAATACAGTTACCTTTCACAACGTATTTCATTTTGTCTTCTCACACTGGCAATTGACACATATAATATAAAAGTGAATTAGACAGGTATTTGGCAAAGTCAGAAACTTCAAGTACCACTTTCTACCATAAGTATGATTTAATACATTAAAAAAATCTTTTTAAAATTTGATAATATGTTTGACAATAATGTTTTGTACTTAAAGCAGCAAAAGGGAAAGAGATTCAAGGGTTTCAACGTTCTAGCATTAACTTGTATATTGACATTTTTGAATAAATAAGTGCTCTGACTTAATAAAGTATGGGCTTTTTCACTGAAAAAATGGACAGTGCTATGGTAAATAAACAGTAATATATTTATATGCATACTTGCAAAAATATTAATTATTCATACAATGGTTTCATATTCTACTCACTCAAAGCCAATATAATCTGCTCAAGAAAAACTGTATAAAAATAATCAAGCCCCTTCTAAAAATAAAGCTTAAGCATGCTAAGCATGACTAATCTGTTGATATTTAAATAATGTTCTTACATGAGAATTAAGTTTCTTTTTTTAATGTTAATATTTTGCGTTGGAGAATAAGATATGGAGCTCCAGCAGATGTCAGGAGACATGGGCATATCCTGACCAGCCAAGGACTAAATCATAACAGCGTAACAGCATTTAAATTTTTGATACATCACAATTTTCCAAATGCACAGCACTGACCTGTGTAAATAAACTTTTCTAAGGTGTACCAAGGATTTAGCTTTGTCTCCGTATGGAGCTTGGTTTTAGATCAATAAGATCTCAGTAGATGAGAAAACAAAAATATAGTACATAAACCTTTCCACAGTGTTCCTTAAAGTGTCAACTAAAAATTGTTCTTCCGTGAAGCACTGTGAATCTGCAGTTTTTAATGATAATAAGGCAGGCAGGAAGATTTTTTTCTTTCTTTCTTTCTGCCAGATAGTTCTAGCTTAATTTAACTGTACCCTAAAGTGAGGGCAGAAGACCTAAGATAGGATATTGCATTAGCATAAATGCCAAGAGTAATAAAAGAAAAGAAAAAATGTTGTACAGAGCAAGGAACATAAAAGCACTTAAAACTTTAGAAGCAGTATTATTTTAATAATCATGCAAGTAGAACATTATCCAAATTTCACATTCCTAATTCTTATATCTGCAAAGTCATGCCAGACAGCTCTCTGATAGAAATAAAACTGATTTGGTACTTGCAATTCTGATTAAGTCTTGTTCAACATTTAGATAAAGCATTTAAATATAATCACAAAAAAAAAAAAAAAAAAAAAAAGGAACCCTTTCAATAATGAAAGCATCCAGTAAGACAAGTAACCCTCTAGGCTCCAAAGGTAACAATTAATGGTGTGTGTCCGAGAGCAAAGAAATATTAATACAATTACTTTATGAATTTTAAAAATCTCACTTAAGTGAACAAAAGATAATTCCTTTTCAGAAAATGAATTTTAAAGCTATCAGTTTATGATAGTTAAAAAATAAATAAATAAGACTTTATTTAGGGCTCAAAACAGTTTTTCATAATAAAAGAATACAGAGTAAATTTGACATTAGTAAGATTTCTGATTTTGTATTTTTGAACTTGAAGCAAAATCTCTTATGGAGAAGGACAGCTTTGTCAAGCTGCAATTATTTAATCCATATACAATTTATAAGTATCTTTCTTATTCAGATATTTTCACTGTAATAGCATTTGATATGACATAATTTGACCTAATAATCTGGTCTCTTCTAATGGGCCTAATTAAAAAGTGAAAGGGGACACCTGGTGAAGAATAAATTTATCTTAAGGAGGGAGGAGAAAATAGGCCTTTGGGAATACTAGTTTTTAAATGCAAGGTACTTTAAATTCAATATATGTTGAAGCATATGCCATAACACTATATAAGGAATTTGATTGAGGCCATTATTACCTGTATCTTAAATAAAAATGACGGTGGTAGGGAACAGTCTTCACAAGAACTAGAAAACTAGGCAATACTATTATTACCCCCCACCTCTTTTTTTATAGATGAAGAAAATGAGGCCTAGAGAAGCTAAGCAATTTGTCCAAGGCCATCATGCAGCTAGCTATTGAGTGGGGTCATGACGAATCTGTCTGGCCCCTGAATCCATGTCTTCTGAACCATGGTGCTTCTTACAGGATGCAAATATTCTATGACAGTCGTCTAAATCCTTAGGGAGGGGCATGCATATGTATAAGTATACACACATGCATACATATACATGAATACACAAATACATAGATGTATATATAATTTTTCTGTGCTATGAGCTTTCTATTTTAAGCTCTTTCTGGTGCAGCTTTAAGTTCTAGAGTCCAAATGGATATACCACTGCATTAAGCCTGGGAAGGTTAGAAACACCAGTCCATGGTATGGACAAGTACTCATGAAGTACAGTAAAACCTCTGAGGCTTATATGAGGATCAAAAGCACTCAACAAAAAAGTTTGTTCAGAGTGAGCCACAAGACATTTCAATTTCTAAGGTAAGAATCAAGGTTTATTGGAAGGGCCAGCTTAATTTACTGGGAATTCTTCAAAAGTTAACAGTCGACTAAAATGACCAAGGAAATTCAAACACTGACTCACAGAGTCACTAGATAAAATGTTTGGAGTTGAAATGAGAATGCCCATACCTTTCCCACATTATGCCCAAATTTTATCTTTTAAAAATACTATGTAGTAAATAAGCAAGGGCAAAAAAATATCTGAAATAATGGCAAAAAAAGAATTTGTATGAGCAAGTCTAAGTGAACTACTATTGATTTTACGTGAGGATGTTCTAAAGTGAGATAAGTTACCAATACTGAAAAATATCAGTATTATCAAAAAGATAACAGCACTTGGGGTTTTTAGTACAGGCCTAGAAATCCATACCTAAAGGGAAAGTAAAAAAACGTCCTTGGCAGCTTGACTGATACTGTCTTCTCAGATTTGCTTCATTAGCCCAACCATATTAGTACCATCAACGATTAAATCAAAAGACTTACTAAAGAAAATCAGTATGCTTCAGGCCAACATCCTACACTCAAACCAAAAGCATGCCTCCTCATATTCCAATGGAGTCAAGCACTTAGAACAGGTCAACAAAGCCTTGGAAAAAAAAAATCATTATTCGTCCTGTATATAGTTATTAATTGAATACTCTACCTGACTGAAGAGAAGCTAACAGAATCTTGTGAAATGTGAATTTTGGACAATAATTTCAAATTAAAAGAAAGCAAAGCAATTTGTTTTAAACCACTGCATCTTGGAAAGAGACAAAGGTGCAAACACAAAAGGAAGACACCACAGTCCACTAACAAGGAGCCAAAAAAATATGCATTACAGCTAGCAAGAATCACCGATGGCCAATCACCTGCGATTTTCATCCAGCACATCCAAGATCTGCTGGTAAGCCCTACGAGTGGAAGACTGGATAAGCGACAAAATGCCTCGAGCAGAGGAAAGATTAGCTCCATCTTCAGGTAACATTTGGGGAGGACAGACCCGAACCTGTTGTGGCGATGGTGTCACACTGTTTACATAAGCACAGCAAATGAAGAGAAAAACACTCAAGTCAGATTTTCATAAAACTTCAGCTGAGCAGTTTCCCCACTTAGTATTTTAAGAATTATCTTAGTTTTCTTGTCCCTTTACCCACCCTTCACCCTCCCCTAAGAAAACAGTCAAACCAAACAAGTTAATAAACACATTAAGTCGTTTTAAAAAACCAACAACAATGCAACATCTGTGACTGTGTAGCCTCACACATCAAATTAAACAAACTGAATATGAAAAAACAACTTTGGAGCAGGAAGAGGACTACAGCAAGCAGTGGGTTCAACCCCAAGCTTTGGAGAAGCGGCATTCCTTACTCCATGTATGTATTCCAATCCAGTAAATCAAACGTCTAATGACCAACACTGCACTGTGACTTAAGGGTGGTGGTGAGAAGGTTAAGACGGAGAGTTCTGGCTTATAGGTGTCAGAGTTCAAACGCATGAATCAAAATAAGTCCATGAAAAATGCCATTTCAAATATTTTGCAAAGACAATAGCAAGCTGAGTTTATGATGCAGAAATTAAATAAAAATGAATTAAAGCTTCAGAAAGCCATAACAAAAGCATGTTGGTAGCTTAATTATATTAAAGCATATGTTCTCTAGCTAAATGACTAAAACATAAACCTACTCTTAAATCTGTGCAGAGAGTGAACAGAGGCAAGACAGTTCTTAAATTATCCAGATGAATGGTAAACAACCATATCTGGGCTTCTTGGGGACAGTAATCTTAATCATTCTTAATGCGTAAGCCAAGAGTCACAATTTCTTTGGCTCCACTGCCAATGCTTCGTAAAAGCTGAACATATTTGAATGAAGCAATTTTACAGTTCTAACAAACTTTTGAGCTTGGTGTATTTTCAGAGAGCAGTTTAATGTTAGGGCCTGATCAGTTAGTTGTGTGAGGTATTTAAGTGATACCAGGACTTGGCCACCTGGTTTGTTACATTAACAGGTTTTGTTGTAACAAAAGGACTATAACCCTGGGATGTGAGCAAAACACTTTTTTTCTCAGCATCAGGGCAAAATCCCTTAGGCTAAACCTCATCCTTGTGTATTTCATCCAAAAGAATGAAAGTGGAGCAGACAGTGAACAACTGAAAAGAGAAAAATATTTTATTTTGACTTATGTAATCTTTTCTTACTTAAAATGCGTTTTGTTTGGAAACCACAACATAAGGGGGATAATTTCTTAAAGGGCAGCTGACATCTAATATTATTATTCCCAGAGTCCCCAGAACATTAAAAACAAAATCCACAATTTTGTGAATAACTTTGAATGTCTTGATGATCCAAAGTGAGAAGTATTATAAATAAGAAAGCCATTTTTTCCAAAGACTATTTAGAAGAGAAAGACCTAAACCATATTTGGCATATTGAGAAACTAGTTTATCAGGGCTGATTCACCAAGGAATCTGGTCTAATGCTACCAAGATAAATGCAGATTTTCAGTTAGGCTCATGGATGATAACCTGGATGTCTGTCCAGAGATTCTGGAATATATACAAGCCACCTTATCATGATACTTGGCCAAACCTATATTGAGCATCCAAGAGGAGAAAAAAAAAAATCATTATTCTCTGGAATACAAACTCTAGGTACTAGCTTTGTCCTCAGCCTTCTCTTTAGGGAGTATAGGGAAAATTTGGGAGTTCTTGCTCTTTGTGAGAAAGCAGATTGAATTCATATTAGAAAAGTATCACCAGGGGGATCCCTGGGTGGCTCAGAGGTTTAGCGCCTGCCTTTCGCCCGGGGCGCAATCCTGAAGTCCCGGGATCGAGTCCCGAGTCAGGCTCCCTGCATGGAGCCTGCTTCTCCCTCTGCCTGTGTCTCTCTCTCTCTCTCTCTCTATCATGAATAAATAAATAAAATCTTTAAAAAAAAAAGAAAAAAAAAAGTATCACCAGAAGCAGGAATGAGAAGGCCAGTTCTGCATCACTATAAACAAACAATCCAACTTAGACTCTCTTGAGAGAGCTGCCAACAAACTTGGCTAAATATACTTAGGTTGTAAAAGCCTAGTACAACATTTTGATACGATTAAAATTTTTGTCTTTCCATTTTGGGACTTACATTGAACACTTTGCATATCATTCGACATCAGTAAATACATTAGCTACACACTAATACATTAAAGTCTGTAATAATCAATATTAGAATTCTAATCTTAGAGCAACAATGTCAGTAAACTAAACACAAATTCACGACAAAAGTTTCATGGATTTTGTCCACTAAAAATTACAAAAGGGCTATTACTTCATCTGAGAAAAATAATTTTGTCAGAAACAAGTAATAGGAACTAGTTATTTAAAGTTCTAAAAGTACGGGATGCCTGAGTGGCTCAGTGGATGAGTGTCTGACTTAGGCTCAGGGCATGATCCCGGAGCCCACATCGGGCTCCCTGCAGGGAGCCTGCTTCTTCCTCTGCCTATGTCTCTGCCTCTCTCTCTCTCTCTCTGTGTCTCTCATAGGTAAATAAATAAAATTAAAAAAATAATAAAGTTCTAAAAGTACAAGTACTTCCTGTTTATACACAGGAAATTTGGTGGTCATTTATAAAGTAGTCAAGCATAAACTAATCTCAGAATAACTGCAAAGAATTCTTAGGAGGGAATGCAAAGAAGGTTGAATGTGAAAACAGTCTCTAAGATCTCTGCTGATTCTAAGACTCTAATGCATCATCGTATGAAAATTGGAATATGATAAATGAAAAAAAATTACGTGATCCTCAACTGTAACTTAAACAAAAAATATTTATGTAGAAAGATAAAAGATAAAATTAAGTCTTTATCAATACTAGTAAAAATATTTATTCCATCAAAGACCAACATCAAGAGCATATTTGGATTTCTGGTTGTTTCTCAAAAGAAATTAAAATTCCAAAGATTAGTAAGAAATTTAACTTCAGTAATTATATGGTAATATGAGCACCAAAAACAGAATAGGAACTATTTTTAAACTGTTGACCATTTTGGGCAGTATATGTACAGATTAAACGCCCTTCATTTTTAATGTTATTTCCATCCACAGTTGAACCAAATGATTAAACTGTAAGTGACCAAAATTACCCTAAATAGAAACAATAAATATTTCAGATTTTTTTCTTTTTTAAAGTTTCAAGTGGTCTTGCAAGCTTTTTTTTTTTTTTTTTAACACAAATAAACAAATTTAAGAACAAAAAATAGTAAGCCCATTTTAACAATCAGCCTGATGCTAGCTGGAATGTCCACCATGGGCATCAGCTATGGAGGGAAACAGTGCTTTTAGGATTTTCATCTCTGTCCACTCATCCAGCCAACCAAGGTGTACTGACTTTCTTTTGACACGTGAACTATTATGAAAAGCAAGAAAGTAAACATTTTGCCAAGGCACTTGGATTATTTAAGCCAATGTTGTATTAGTAATTTAATAGAAATGTACTTTGATAATAAATATATCACAGTATATAAAACAGCAAAATCTCAACTTTTTCTTTTACAAAAGATTAGGAATTTTGAAGAAAGCACTAATGTTTACATATCATTTCATCAGTAATGGATTTATTTCATGCCTATATGAAATCTTACTGCACGAATGTTAAGTACACAACACTAGCCAATGTCAGAACTAAAATTTAAATGAAAATTTGGCATAACTCATTATTAAAAGAGCAGTCCAAAGTAAAGTACCTCTTTCCCCATGAGTTTTCCCAGGAACAATGTTTCTCAAACTGTGAGGGTATAATCTCTTTGGTGAGGCTCCAACCTCTTCCAAAAAACAGTAAAAGTGAAATTGTGAAAAGGGGGAGAAAAATTTAATGGAAACACAAATTTTGCACTTCTCTTGAAATTTTAAAAAGAGAGAAAATTTAACTTGTTGCCACTGTCTAAGGCAATATTCCTGGTTCCCAGAAGCATAATAAAAGAACTAGAATAAGAGAAAAACCATCAGCTATCACAGTAACTTCTGTGGCTTAAGAACCACATTGGCTGTTGAATTCCTATACTGCACACTAAAATATTCCAAGACGAAGGTCACTCCCCCACCTTCTGTCACATTTACAGAAAGAGTGGGTTTAAATGATCTCAAAACATTCTTTTAAGCATTATTTTAATCTATGGGAAAAAAAAAAACTTTAAATGACAAATCACTCTTTGACCCCATTCTCCTTCTGTATAAAAACAGGGCAAGCAAAGGCAGTGTACTAAAATAAAAGAAGGACTGGGATCACCAAACCTGGTTAAGTTGAATCTACAGAGAACTAATATGCCAACCAAAGCAAAATAAAATAAGAAAAGATGCTTGGGTTTTTTTTTTTTTTGTGCAAATTATTCCATTTTACTTTCACCATTACACTCCAAATCATACATCATTTCCTTAATTGGCCCAGTTGTCTTTTTTTTTTTTTTAATTCTCAACAAAGTGCATGATGACAATTTGAGAAGTCCTAAAACCCAGGTACTGAAAAGCCAAACAGTAAGAGCACTAGGGTATTATATGATGATAATTACTTGGTGAAATATTAGTATAACAAAAGCCTGTAAAACTTAAACAACTCCTAGTTGTGAAAAGCAGAGCAGATAAAATCTTACGTGTACTCCGGCGCAGAAAACGATGCCTGGAACCTTGAAATTTTATTTCTTGGGGCAGAATCTGATCTGTGCCACCTTAAATAATAATTATGCTTCTTTTACATATTCAGCTTTTATAACAGAAAGAAAAAGCTAGATACAAGTCTACTGATCAGAAGTCATTTTTGTGTCAATAGCTGGCAATAATCAATCCTACTATCTCTTGAAAATAATTAAAAAAACAAAGGCCAGTGTTCCTGCTCTTATGTCTATATGTACTTTTACTCCTAAAGCCAAGGAATAAAATGGAGGCAGGCAAGTGTTCATGCACAGTGACACATAATTCTACATTACAAAGAGACTAAAATAGGTAAAGACAGCAAAAGCTTAATAATTACTTTAGTAGAAGTTAAATATAGTTATTTTATCTTCCTTACTACATTACCAACACTAAATATCTAATAATGTTCATTATATAAAATTCCTAAAGTTAATACAGGTAGAGCCTTACAGATGAATCCAATTATACATTCTAAATTAATAACGGTAGAGGAAGAAAAAGCAAGGTTACACTATTAACGAAAAGATGGTTAAGTATCTTACCATGACACAGTAAGATACATTAACTACCATAACAAAAAAGTATGATTAATGTAAGAACGGTAATATAAGAATTGTACTGTGAAATGTATAGTTAAATACGCATTTTATTTTTACCACCTAAAATTAAAACATGAGATTTTTCAGGTTTATTAAACATCTAGAAAGTGCCAGTAAGGCAACTTAAACAGAAAGAGAAAGCAAACATTAGTTAACTCTCTTAAATCTTCTCTGTTATAAGGAGCTTAAGTTATTGGTAACTGCAAAATGCCTATGAACTAATCATCTACTCTAAATCATACCTCCCTAGGCTGGTTTTCAAACCTAGTAAAGCTGTTTCCTTTCTCTCCAACTAAACTCAGCTATCAATAGTTACTTACTTTGTGAGAAAAAGAATAAGACTGATGCTATACTAAAACAGTCCTGTTTTTTATCTCACTATTGTGAAATTTCAAATTTCAAAGAGACCTAAATATTAAGCAACACCTTCATTTAACAGAAAAGCTTATTAGAAACCTTTGCTGCCTTGAAAAATATTACAAACGGAAAATAGCAAAAATCCTTATGTGTTTTATGCTTAATCACTCTGATAGGGTACTAAATATCAAGAAGCTACCTTAGCCATCAACCCTGTAATCTTTTTACCGTTTGTATAATGTATCTGAAAAAATCCTAGAAAAATGAATTTCACAGACCAGCTGACATCACTGCCAACAAGGTATCTTCAGGGAAACATAATTACCATAAAAATTTTCATTTTAATACTTGAACTTTTCAAGTATTTCCTGAAGGAGGTATATATTCATTTTCACTATCTTCCTATATACCCCTTCAGAATAACTGTAACTACTTTAGGAAACATTTCAAGATTTTTCCAAGAAATCAGAGCAGTTACAGTCCTCCTCTGCATCTACCACAAGAGACAGCCTAATCCTATCAAAGCCCCACCTGCATCCCTATATTCTTCAGTCTGGTCCAAACTAGAACTTGATATGGTTTAACACAGATGGTACATTGTACTGTGTTCTACTTTATTTGTATATACATGTAAGTGTTTTGCTTTTATCTAGATTTTCAAACTCAGAGAGTTGTGGTTTCCAGAGAAGCTAACATGATGCTTGGCATCAAATATGGTTCATGATGTATGAGTTCATGAAGAGTGACCAAAAATGTAATGAGGAAGATATACTATTTTACATAAACAATCCAAATCATCTATTTAAAAAAGCCACAATCACCAATGGATTTGAGACTTAAAATTCTGAACAGATTTAAAAGGGAAATTTGATCTGTAAAAACCCAGTAGTTTAAAAAAAAATACAAAACCCATTAGTTTTAATGAAACAACAAAAAACACCGGCCTGATCTAAAACTTCTTATAGTGGGGTAGCTCTAAGATCAGAGTATGATAATATACCCAAATTTAAAAGAAAAGTTTACACAAACAGCCCTTTAAACAACATACTTATATTTTTGGCAAATGAATGGATCTAATAATGACTCAGTAGGCAGAGAGCTAAACAATAATCCAAGAAAGTGAAACAATTCCACTCGCTTATGCTACATTGTTTACCATGGTTCATTAGAAGCGGAGCTGGAAGGGCTAGTTCACAATTTTATGACAAAATGAGTAACTTAAAAAAAAAAAAAGACATTTGCTTCAAATGTTTTCCTTTTCTTTTTCTTTTTTTTTTTTATGTTTTCCTTTTCAACCTACATGCTAAGATAAACATTTCTGAAGGCTGCACAGGACTGAGCACTTATATTTATCAAACTCTCTTAAATATACTTGATAAGTAATTCCCAAAATAAGGAAATCATACTCGTAGAATCCTGTCATATACATACGAGAGGATAATGCTACTGGAAAGTTCTCACAACATATTTTAAGGCTATAAAAATAACTGCAAAAATGTAAAATTGATGTAAATGTAAAACAGATTTCAAACAAAAGCAAATTATTTACTTTTTTGTCTGGTTGTTAGGCACAAAACACGTACTTCTTTTTTTTTTAATATTTGGGAGTTAAAAAAAAAGAATATAATTACTTAGAAAAAGATGGGAGAATATACGGAGAAAACTTATGAAGGAGATACATTGCTCAGTGGTTCTACTCACATGGAGTCAGCTCTGACCAGCTGTCCGTTTTGGCGAACAGCATTTTCACTCATAGAGCGCTCTCTTTTTAGCCTGCCAACTGCACGGATCTGTGAGGCACAAAGAAAGGGAGAGGAATAGAAAATATTCTTAGTAGCCTAGTAGCTACTTAGTATCAAAAAAACCTTAATCCAAGGCTATTCAGAAAATTTACAAAGAACATAACCAAGAATTGCTGCCAGGCATGAGTATTAAAGATAGGTTAAAAACAACCCTACTTATTATGATGCACATAAATTTACAAAAGCTTCTTTACCTTGCTAAAACAATTATTTCTGGTTTCTATTTAAATATCAATCTTACTTGGTACAATTATATTTTTATTTATTGAAATTTATATAATACACTTATATTAGCTAAGAACAATTTACAACATTTTTTTAAAGGTATGTATATCATGGGAAATGGGATGTATTTATATTATAAACAAATGTTCCAGGCTTCTGGGGTTAAAACAAATTCATATTCGGTTGGATATTTGAAAACTAGACCAAAAAAGACTTGGTACTGGCTTAAAGGTTTTGGCATTCCAGAAATAGCCACAATCTCCCATCCCACATGCTCTTACAGAATGTGTCACTGACCTTCTCCATTAAAAGATAGGATTTATGTTCTCTTCTTTTGAAATTGGGTGGGCTGGTGACTGCTGTAGAGATGATGCAATGTGACTTCTGAGACTAGGTCATAAACAACAATAAGCCTTCTGCCTCTCTCCCCTAAACTGTTCATGTTTGGAACAATGGCATCGTGATGTGAAGATGCCCACGAGTCACATGGAAAGGTCATGTGTAGGTGCACCTACCAACAACCAACCATAGCTGAGGTCCCCAGACAACAGCCAGCATCACAGACATGTGAGGAAGCTGTCAGATGATTGTAGACTCAAGCTGTAGAGTCATCCCTACCTTAGACCCAGATACTGTAAAACAAAAAAAAGCTTTCCCCATTATGCCTGCTGCAAAGCCTTTACAAACAGAATCCATGTCCATGATCAAAATGAAATGTTAGTTTTTTCTTTGTAAGACACTTAAGGTGGTTTATTACAGAGCAATAGAACAATGGTAATCACTAACTTTCCTGTTTGTTTAGGTGGTTTGTTTTTTTGCTTTTAACTAAAAACAGCCATGGCAACTTCATGGTTTAAAGACAAAAAAAAAGGAAACATTACTGTAAAGGACAATTGGTATGTTAACCAAGGGACTTGAAATTTAAATATTAAAAAAAAAACACTTGGTGGGATGAGCGCTGGGTGTTGTGCTATATGTTGGCAAATTGAACTCCAATAAAAAAAACTTTTTTTAAATTAAAAAAACAAGGGTATTTAGTGATGATTTTTTAAAAAACTTGAGTAGATCATCAAGTTACAAGCACCTTCAGTGGAGAATAAATCCAGACTTCATGACAATAAAATTTAAAACCACATTATGCAGCATATAATTTCAGAGTATGGTTTAGATTTGGTTATGAGTTATGAACAAAAGAAAAGAACATTTCTAAAAACAGAAAAGGAGTCAGTTTGGAGCCCACTGCAAGAACTCTTTACAGTTAAACCAAAAATAAAAATTACCTTAAAGCCATATATATATACATATACACACACACATACACACACACATATGTGTATTAAGTTACATATAATGTAATATAGTTATATATGCATACATATTATACATCTATAAGTGATATATGCATATATAACTATTTATATTGTTAAGTTGTATGTAACTTAACACCTCTACAATCCAGTACACTTGATTCAGAGAATACTGGGTTGATTTGTGAGAATCCCACTGATACCTGCCTTCCTACCTACCACACAGCTGTGCTTACTTTCCCTAGAGAACAGCTCTTCCATGTTGCAAGATCAAGGTGAATTTTCTACGAAATCAGAACCATTCCTGCTGGTGTGTTGTGAGAACTAAGATTAAGCAGGACAGGAAGTGACAGGAAAAGGCAGATTCTTTCTATGATTTCAACACAGCCTGGAAACTAGAGGATCCAAAGTCTGTTATCTCACCATTTGAAATCTGATTCAAGGATAACTTACCTGGAACACTAAACTTAATATTGCTGCCATACTAGGGGGGAAAGCAATTTCAGACAAAAGCATACATCTATCATGCCTTCTAATATGACCAACTTGCATCCTGTAATGCTGAAGTGCATGGACACTGCCTGAAGTGATAAGGACACTCTTTTAAAAATTTCTACCCTTTAGTTCAGTCATGGTGGTGGTTTTCTCAATTGAAGGTTTTTTTTTTTAATTACTTTTTTACCCAGCTTTACTGAAATCTAGTTGACAATTCAAGATTTTTAAGTCATTGCAAACCAATCAGCACTGATTACCCATTTAAAAATTCAGTCCATTCAGTTGAGAAAGTATCCCAGCTTCAGGTAACTTCCTGCAGGTTACGTCACAGGGGCTTCTGTGTCTGACAACTGGCTTAAAATTCCTCCCTCCTCATTTATACTGCCTAATCAATGCAAAGAACCGTTAAGAACTGTCATGATTTGGTGATTTTGTGATTTCCTACCCAGATCAGAGTTTATTGCTCCGTTGCTTTATTAGTTTCTTGCAGGTAGAATCATCAAAGCAATGGTCATGTCCTAGAGTTGCCTCCCAAGTACAGATTAGGTATGTTGAAAGGGCTCATGACTTCCTCTGTACCAGCTAACCCTCCAGATTTTATAAACCCTGTCTATGCGAGGGGATTATCCGTTTCATGCTTTAAGCCCTCTACCAAGGGTATCCTTGGATTCTTCAAGCCAGCTTAGGAATTCAAGCGCAGTTATCTTCTGTAAACTTATTCCTTTTAGACAACAATTTCTATAGACTTCTTCATAAGCCACCTTCCTATAGTCTCCTTTCTTGTCATAGGCCAGGGGTTCTTAACTGGGGTGATTTTGCCCTCAAGGGGAAATCTGGCAATGACTGGAGAGAATTTTTCCTTTCTTTTTATTGTGACCAGCTACACATACCATAAAATTCATCATTTAAACTATTATACAATGTAGTGTATTTAATGCATTCATAACGTGCAACTAATACCACTACCTAGTTCCACGTAGGAACTAGGTACCCCAAAAAGAAATCCTATAATGATTAAGCAGCCATTCCCACTGCCCCTTTTCCTCAATCCACTGGCAACCACCAATCTGCTCTCTGTGTCTGAGGATTTGAGTGTTCTGGACATTTCATGTAGGTGGAATTATATATATACATATATATATACAGCCTTTTCTGTCTGGCTTCTTTGATGTAGCATAAAGTTTTCAAGGTTCATTTGTGTTGTACAACGTGTAAGTACTTCATTCCTTATTATGGCTGAATAATATTCCAGTATGGACATGCCACATTAGGTGTATCTATTCTTCAGTTGTGGACACGGGGGTTGTTTCCACCTTTTTTAGCTATTAGAGACATTTTTGATTTTCATGATTTGGAGGATTCCACTGGCATCTAGTACACAAAGATCAAGAATGCTGTTAAACATTCTATAGTGTAAAAGGATAGCCTTCACCACAACAAAGAATTATCCAGTCCAAAACATCAACAGTGCCAAGGCTGAGAAACTGTGGCATATGCTATAAAATGACTACTACAGAGTCAATGATTCAGAGAATCTCACTTGATAGGTTCTGACTAGCATCTGAATGAATCAATACAGCACTCAGAGCCTTACTGTTCTCCTCTTTCAAGCCATCTTCTAAAAGCTACTAGAACTCTGGTTCTTTTTCCTTTCTCCTCTAGTCAAGAGGTCCTGAGGGCTGACCCCCTCCATGGACTTGAACCACAGATCATCACCTTTGCTTTCCTTTCAATAGGCAGCTGGTACTAATCTTTGAAACCCCACCCTTGCGACTCAGGATTTGGCTTCCTCTATAGAATCTTAACTTTTATAACAATAATATGTAAACATACAACATACAAGCTTTTAATATAAATTAGAACATGTGCTGAACACACTACATGCATTATTATAGTTAGTTCTCACAATAATCCTAAGCACTTGGCATTATTCTTACCTTTTAGAGATGAGCCCTGAAATTGTCCAATAAGTTACCCAAGGTTATGTTGTTAGTAAGTAGCAAAGTAGGCCCTCAAAATTAGGTCTCATTCTCAGCCTAAGTTTTTCACTCTAGTGCTATATACTTTGGGCATTTTGACATTTGACTAAATGTATTCCTACTACTGCAGGAGTAAACCCCATAGGTCCACTAAGGCTAATCCTGGTAAGCTTTTTTCCTTAAAAGTAATGACTCAGGAAAGTGCCTGACTTGTTTTCAATCAGTTACTCTCACCAAGTAGGCAGAAAGTATCTAAAATAGTGGGAGCAGAAAGATCAAAAGAAAAACAAAACTCAAAGAATATTAGAGAGAGGGTTTCTCTCCTGGTGGAATCCTCACTCTAAGATGTTATCATCCACAGCAGCAACTTCCACTGGGAACTTCTGGAGGGCCAGGAAACAGGACCTTTAACTGAAAGCATGCTGTGATACCTTTCATCTCACATAATGGTACTCCCTACCTTTCATTATTCTTTGCAATTAAGAACTTCGTATCTTTTATGTGTGCTGGCGTTTCTCCCATGCTCATGCCACCATGCAGGAACTCTATCTCACCATACAAGGTCTTACACAAAAGCTCAAAGAATGTTTGTTAAATAAATACAGTCCCATAAGCACCTCAGTGCTTTTCACCAGGTGAACACTCACATTTAGTGCTTTCCACCAAGAGAATATCTAGAATGTCTCAGTTACGTCAGCAGAAACTTCCAACCAAGAGAAGGCTAACGCCAGTACTAGGAAACAGCACTCCCTTGGATTATATGGACACTTCACCCTTGTTTGAAAGGACCAACATGAACAAGGACACACCGGCAGTTCCACTATCAATAAAAATGCATGTCTGCACACTGTCTTACACTAGCTTCATAACAACACAGAAGTTCAGAAGCTAAGTGTAAAAGCTGTAACTTTAAGTATCATCACAGAATTTTACAAGATTGGCCCTGCTTGGGAGAGGCAAGATCTGAACTTTGCTACGAATACTTATTAGTCCTTCTTGTAATATCGAGGTCAGGGCTATTAATGTTATAAAGTATATTAACTCAGCAGAGACTTCTTAGCAAGCAAGGAGATTAGGTAGTATCGAGGGAAAAAAAGTGCTTTCTTTGTCTTATCTGCCAGATTTTTTTTGTAATAAAGTGCTGCATTCATTTTCCAACTTTTTCAGTATTGCTTAAGGTATAACCCCCAGCCATAAAAGCTCTTCCTTCTAGATCACATGAATGTTAATGATTTCCCCAAAATTTTCATTTTCTGAAACATAACATTTAGATTTTAAAAAAACAGCATAATATCTTAGTTGGAGTATCTACATATCAGAATTTATAGTAACCAATGGTCCATGCGGAAGGCTTTCAGTACATACTAATGACAGGATTTACAGCCTTCGATCCTCTTTACTTCTTGTTTTTGTCCTTATTATTTCAAATTCAGTTGATGTTAAAACTCTACTTACGGGCAGCCCGGATGGCTCAGCAGTTTAGTGCCGCCTTCGGCCCAGGGTGTGATCCTGGAGAGCCAGGATCGAGTCCCACATCAGGCCCTCCCTGCATGGAGCCTCTGTCCCTGCCTCTCTCTTTCTCTGTGTGTCTCTCATGAATAAATAAATCTTAAAAAAAAAAAAAAAACAAACAACAACTCTACTTACTTCTTCATTTTGAGGGGTTGGAGGAGGTCTTTCTAAATCCAGAAAATCTAGTGGTCTTTCACTTAATGTAAGTACACGAGGTGGTGTTTTTAGTGCCAGAGGTTTAAAGGGAGTTGACTGAATAAGGTCAAGATCTGCAGGTCTTGAAAATGGAATGTCTTCATTATTTCCTAGGAGTATAAAAAGGAAAGGAGGGAAGTTTTAAAAAGATAGCAGTTTTATGTAAATGTATCTGCCATTACACACCCTCTAGGATGACTAAAATTAAAGACTGACAGTACAAAGTGTTGGCAAGGATGTGGAGCAGTGGAAACTCCCATACATCACAGATGGGAACAAAGAGGGTACAATCAATCTCAAAAACAGCTTGACAGTTTCTCATAAAGTTAAACACAATTTACGGTATAACCTAACAATTCTATTCCTAGAAACAGGAAAACACACATCCTTACAAAAGTTTGTACATGAATATTCAGAGTAGCTTTATTCCTAACAGCCCCAAACAGGAAACAACCCGGATCTCCATCAGTGGGTAAGTGGATACACAAATTGTGGTATATTCACAGGGTGGAATACAACTCAGCAATAAAATGGAGTGAACAACTGATAGAAGAATATGAAAGAATTTCAAAAACATTACTCTAAGCAAAAGCCAGGCCCAAGACAAAATACTGTATCAACCCATTTGTATGAAACTCTAGAAAAGACGAATCTAATCTCTGGTTACACAAAGGAGATAATGGTTATGTGGAAACGGGGCGGGGGGGGGGGGGAGGAACTAAATGAGATGGGAACTTCCCTTGCAGGGTGATGAAAATGTTCTGTATTGAGACTGTGGTGGAAGGTCACAGGAGTATATACATTTGTCAAATCCCATCACACTTAAAAATTACACATATCTTATGTATGTAAGTTATGTCTCCATTAGTTGAATTATTAAAAAATACTGTTTGAAATTTCAGACCTTATAATAAAAATTTTGAAAAAAAATGCGAAGTTGTAGTTACCATGCCCTTTTCTAAACAATATTTTGAAAAACCGGAAGTTTTCATAAAATCATATAAAACAAAGATCTTGATAAATAAATGTAAAATACCTGCTACAACGATCCTCTCTGGTACCTGCATAATGACACTAGCATTTGGAACTCCTTCTTGGAATCCTTGTTCCAGGTCAGCATTTGGTGGTGCTACCTTTAATTTCTCCGGGACCCTCATCTGCTGACTAATACCTTCGGTGTATTCCATTTCATACTGAATTCGACTAATTTCCGCCATCTCAGCAGCAGTGGGAGAAGGAAATGCTGCCCCACTCACTCTGTGGGCAAAAATTTAAAGACAGGGATAACTAAGTGTTAAAATGTCAGTCTTCTTTATGGAGTGAAGTTAGACACTACCTTGTAGGAAGAGCAAGAGGAGACTTCTCATTTGTGAGTACTGAATATGTACGAAGGAAAAGTAAAAAAAAACTGAACAAAATGTTTTCCTTAACATAAGCCTTCTCACTTATCAGTTGAAATTGCACCCTGAGGACACTGGTTAGGAGCAAATCTTAAAATTATTGTATCACCACAAAACAAATGTGCACAGACACACTCTCTCTGCATAGATACGCGTGCTGCTTATAATTAAAAAGATGCCTAAAATAAAACTTAAATTTTTCTAGCCAATAATTTGAGGGAAAAGCTGCTAGGATTTTATAAAACTGAAATTAGGAATTGCTGTCATGCATGAAGAAAATAAAGCCTTTTAATGATGAAAATCAGATTCAAAAAGTAAATAAGGCTAATTCTAAATTTATATTAAAAAAAAATGTAGTCCCCAGAAAAATCACAAGATACAAGTTAAAACTTCTCTAATGGAATGTATACCTGGTGACTGAGATACAATGAATACCAAATATAGAATAATATGCAGTAATAAATCCTTCATTTATGTATTCCTTTTATGGGATTAAAATCTTCCCATTAATTTATATTTAATATCATCTTTACATGTCTATTTTTAAAAAGCATGACATGCCTTTAAGGGGAAATAGTACAAATGCACTGAATAACCTCCTAAATTAGAGGATTCATGCTTCAGGAAAATGTAGAAGAAAGTTACCCCCAAATACAAAATGCTGATTGAAGTGTGAAAGAGCATTGTCAGCCTAATGGTGCCACTCACTCAAGCCTACAATACCAGCTCAACTGAATAAAATGTCACTGACCTTCCTAGTGGTGTGTCACTGCTTGTTCTTTCACTCATTTGTAATACAGTAAATACACGTCTAGAATAGCTATTAAAATACTGCTACCCTGTAGTTCAGTTTACTTTATACAACAATTCCCCTACAAATCTGAACTTTTTTGTAGGTATACATAACAACACGGACACTGCTTTTCCAGCTGTAAAAAAGAAAGAATAAAAAAAAAAATCAGTATTTCAACAATTCATTTTATTTAAAAAACCATGAATTATAGTAAACATCTACTTAAAATTATTTACTAAGACTTGATCTAGAAAACCAATTTTCAAATTTCTCCTAAACAGTTATTCTATACCTCAAAAATCATAAAGATGATTTTTTGCACAGTCACTATTTTATGATTCTGCAAAAAGGATAAAGCTAATCAAATGTATATAAAAATGTGAAGTCAGATTTTAAAAAACATTTTGCCATAGACTCCTTTAATCATTGTATTTTGAAAGAAAGTTCTCTCCTTTTTAAGGCTTAGGTAAAATACAGATGAAGAAATCATGAGGAGAATGTCAAGGGCAGAAGTAAATGCATCTGACGTAGCCTAAAAAATTGATGTACAAGTAATGGTTTCCTTAAAAGGAAATGACTTCAAAAGCCAAATTACACTGAATTTTCAGCAAAAGATATTATACATAAATCAAGGGCAATAAAAATTAAAGAGGACATAAAGGTGAGTCATACGAGGGATTTTTCCTAAACTCCATGTCAGAGATGTATTATGACACTTGAACTACCTCAAAAAGATGCTTAGGAGAGTTTTTGGAGGTTGCTCAGAGTGCTAAGCCCTGACAACTGGTTAATTATGACTGCTAAATTGCTTCCTTTATTCTTTACCAAAATGTGTGAATTTTAGGGATCTGGCATGCAGATGGTTTAAAGACTAAGAAAATAGAGCCAAAAGACAAATTTTTACTCACAAATGTGTACCAGCTACTGCGGGCTATTTGGCACTATCTGCTTCTGTGCTTCATATTAAATCCTTTAACTCGCTTCAATGTGCCTGTGCTGGATTTAGAGCCACTTTTGTCCCTAGGGGAGAAAACAGGAGCTAACTGAGAACCCACATGACACCAACGTTGGGTATTCATTGCTGGAAATCCTCTAAATGATAAGTCACCTTACATTAGGAAATCAGTACAATACAGAAAGCAAAAAATTAACAAGCTTACCACCAATTTTAATCCCACATTCATTAGTTTCGTTAATGCAAGATAAAATAAAGAATTGTCACCATTTCTGATTTGAATTTAGAAAGATGTGACAGACGAAAAATATTTAAGTTTGAAAGAATCTTAATAGTTATGTGTATACACGTATATCCAGGAAGAACAAGTACATTTTGGCTAAATTTTCATTCAGTACTTAATTTAATTTCATATGTATTTCATTCATAACTTTCAATCAGTACTTGAATTTGAACCAGTAATATATGCACATGGTACAAAGCACACAAGAAGATACAGAGAAAACACAGTGTCTGACCAGACCCTATCCTACAACCACCTAGGTCCCCACAGGCAATCTCTTATTTTGTGTCTCTTTCTAGAGGAGAAACTCTTTCAATACTTGTGTGTAGATGAAGCCCAATAAAATCTTACATTTGGATATAATACTGAAAAGAGATATCTCAAAAGAATTATAGTTAGCCTTGGGGCGTTACAAATTGAAGTTTTATAATAATAAGCAAGGGACACAAATAACCAGAACATCATCTCCCTCAAATGTGCTATTGTCCCCCACTCCATTTACCGCTTTTCAGTCTTCTTATGGACTTTCCACCAGTACATCCCATGAGGGTCAAAATTCCATTCTATTGCAATACTTTGTCTTACGAAAATCTGTTTGTAAAATATCACAGATTTAGGTCATATGGATGCTGAAAAGACAACTTCAAGAAAAAGGCAAATTCTCCTAGCCTGAGCTACTTAAATTTTAAAAAGTAAATGGAACTTTTCTAAGACAGAACACTGTACTATCCTAATTAGATTGGAATTTTTTTTCCCCTCCCTCATTAGACTGTAGCATTTCTGGTATCATCTTATGGCAATACATAAAATAAACTTCTCATTTGGAGTTAATATTAATTCCAGAGGTTCTGTTATTAGACTCTATTAGGCAACCAGTACACAATTCTCCATCATATAATTAAGGAGACAAAATCGCTCTCAGAATCACAGATGATCCTACTTGTTCCCAAACGCCAGTAATTTACCAATTTTATAGTTCTTTCCACATTCACAGAGTATGCTTACTCTTACCTACCCTTAATTTTTTAACTCAATTTCTAAAAATCTTAATGCATTTTAAAAGGAAACTTTACATCATCACCTTATGCCATACATATATAAATATATGTAACAAAAACATAACTTTAAGAAAAAACCCTCATCGGGATCCCTGGGTGGCGCAGCGGTTTGATGCCTGCCTTTGGCCCAGGGCGCGATCCTGGAGACCCGGGATCGAATCCCACATCGGGCTCCCGGTGCATGGAGCCTGCTTCTCCCTCTGCCTGTGTCTCTGCTTCTCTCTCTCTCTCTCTGTGACTATCATAAATAAAAAAAAAAGAAAAAAAAAAAAAAGAAAAAACCCTCATCCATATACTATCTAGAATCAAGTCAAATCCCACTCGTGGAAAGGATCCCTAATTTGGGACTCAATGATTCAAGCCTGACTTTGTTTTCTATATTAGAACACTGAAACCCAGAGAAATAGCCTAGGAAGTAACAGAAACAGTTTGGGTCAAAAGATTTTTATAATTCCCCAATTATTAAAACAAAACAAAACAAAACTCCACTTATTCCATGAACCTAGTTCAAGGTTTTTATATTGGTCAACCTGTTTCCATTCTCTTTTCAAGTAACTATACTTAAAAAAAAAAAAAAAAAAAAAAAGTTTGGTGAATTAGCAAATCAGGGGATAGCAATCCAGGAATTAACTGTACTTTTGAAAAGAAAAGTCACCAAAACCTTGAAAGAAAAAAAAAAAAAAGACCCCACAAATTAATGAACTTTAAAATAAGGTCATGAATCCACAGAAAACAAGTTTCAACCAGAAGGGAGAAAAGCCCAAGTGCTAAACTTTGTGATGATCCTCCAACCGGGCAGCCCTATCGCACAGGAAGGGATGGCACGTACAAGTTCCTTTCGGAAAGAGCAGCAAGACCAACGAATTCCCAAGTGTTAGAGACCCCACAAGGCAGCGGGTCCTACACGGAATTCTTGGGAATTCCGTGGGGGAGAAGGCTTCTTCTGCTAAAGCACAACCAGGCCGCTGTAATTCCTTCCCAAATCTATTTTCACGAGGGCTTTTCCTCTGGGATCTCCTGCGCCTGCGAAATGGGACACACAAGGGAGAGAGAACAGCTGCGATCCTCCAGGGCCCAGCCTCCCGGGGGATCCGAGGCCTGAGCACGACCAAGGGCTCAGGGTGAGCCTTTCCGATGTGCTGCAATTGAAAAAAGGTGCCTACGGAGCGCCCCTTGCTGCAAGCGCCCTAGGGCGCCGCGGCCCGGGGTGTCCTTGCACCACCCGAGGAGCCTCGTCCCGCAGGCGAAGGTCGGGAGCTCCCCGCACCGCTCCCCCCGCCTCCCAGCTCCTGGAAGGAAACCCCAGGAGCCACGGACTCCAGCATCCACACCTGGGAGCAGGTGCGCCTGCAAACCCACCCGACCTGGGGCGCTGGGGTGGGGGGTGGGGGGCGGCCGACCGGCCTCCAGCAAGGCCTTCCCGGTCCAGCGCGTCTGTTGCACAAAGTGAGAACAACAAACGGCTCGTCCCGTCGGCAGGTGTCGGGGGCAAGGTCATTCCGAAAGGGGGGCGGGGGGCTCAGCCGGGAAGGAGGGACGGCCCCCCGCAAAGCTCCGCGCTCGGGCTCCAGGTCGCCCCTGGGTTTCCCAGCCCCCCCCCCGCCCGCCCCGCAGCCCAAACTATTTTCTAGACAGGAAATCCACATTTATGCTCAAAATGAGACCCCGAACTAGGAGGAGGGAGGGGCCAGCCCCAAAACTAGCTCCCCAGGAGCGTGTGCCGCTCTCCCTTGCTCTCCTCGGGGGCCGAGGCGGCGGCAAAGGTCCTGAAGAGGAGACGAGGCCAGAGCCCGGGGGTCGGGGCCCGCCGGGGCAGCAAGGTCGGCCCGGGGCCCCCGCGGGTCCCTCCGTCCGCCCGGGGGCACGGCCGCCGCGCTAGGCCCCGGAGGCCGGCTCGGGCCGCGGGCCGCGGGTCGGGAAGGCATCGGCACTCACCGCTGGGCCCGCTGGAGGGTCCCCGACGACGGCCGCCGCCCGCCGGCTCCCGGAGGCCGTTGGCCGAGCGCACCGAGGCGCCCGGGGAAAGCACCGGCCGGAGCGGCCCGCAGCGGGCCGGGGCAGACGCGAGAACGGCCGGGGCTGGCCCTCGCCGGGAGCCGTAGCGGAGGCAAGTTCGCGGTCATGTGATACAGGGAAGGGCGGACGTGAGGCTCACGCACGGGAGCGGGGGCCGCGCGACGGCGCTACGGGGCCATCTTTGTTGAGGGCGAGCTGCGCCGATCGCGGTCAGCGATACTTCTACCGTACGAGTTCAGTTCACGCTTCAATTTAGGGAGAGTGCGTGATCTGTAAGACCCACGTGTTTGCAAGGTCAACCTTCGATTGCCGGTTAAGATCACTGTTCTTCAGGGCTATCTGCATGAAAGCCCCAGTGGCCCGAGCCCTCTGAATATCTCACCACCCCTTGCAGGTGATTGCTCGCGGAGCCCTGTGATTATTACCAGGTCTTCCGTGACAGCGGCCCCTGCCCTGGTGGCTCCGCTGATCCCTCGCGAGGGGAGTGGTGGCAAAGAGCGAGGTTTTTCGGTAGTTAGCAGCCTTGTTGAGCTTCGGGAGCGCCCTCTCTGCGTCGCACCACCCAGATGCTCGCTTCCCGCGGGAAGCTCCGTGCCCCGCTCGCCCGCCGGACCCCGGGCCGAGGCCGAATCGCCGGGGATTTTGCGTGCCTGGAATTTAGCAAACGGCCGAGCAAGGGCATGCCCAGGAGGAGGTACTTGGCCAGAATCTAAAGTTGGTCCAGAAGTTGGTTTGGAGAAGTTACCATTCTCCAAAATAATTTTGGGAGGAAGCACCTTGAGAAGTGCTGCTGCTGAGTCCCCTCTATTTAATAGGGACAAATCATCCTCCGGTAAGAATAGGTTGATTTTAGGAATGAGGAGTCATTCCCGACCAACCTTTCCGGGGAAGACAGAGAAACCAAGCAGGGTAAGCCAGCCATGGCCAGAACTTGTAGAAGTAAAAGTAAGAGCCCTGCTGCTTCCACCAGCACCCTTCCACTTTTTTTTTTAAGATTTTTAGAATTATTTATTTAGATTTTATTTCTTTATTATCACTCATGAGAGACACAAAATGAGAGAGAGGCAGAGGGAGAAGCAGGCTCCATGCACCGGGAGCCCGACGTGGGACTCGATCCCGGGTCTCTAGGATCGCGCCCTGGGCCAAAGGCAGGCGCCAAACCGCTGCGCCACCCAGGGATCCCACAAATTAAAGTTTTAAACAGAGAAAGAGATCAATGTCAACTCTCCACTTTGTTCCATTCCCACTGCTTGTTTAGCTTTAGATGATCATTACCCATCATCTGGACTGATAACCTTTTAACTGGCCATCCCAGCTCCAATCACTTTTCTCCTCTAATTTTTAATTATTAATTCTTAATTAATTCTTTGTGGTTGGATCCACAAAGAACCTAGTTTTACAGATTGTGACATCCCAAATTTGAAGCCCCAGGTTTCAAAGAAATTGATAATTTATAGTTCTCTACAATTCAAAAGTCCATAACAGCAATCCAGTAATTTTTATTTTTTTAAAGACTTCATTTACTTATTCGTGAGACACACACAGAGAGAGGCAGAGATACAGGCAGAGGGAGAAGCAGGCTTCCTGCGGGGGCCCGATATGGGACTCGATCCGAGAATTCCAGGATCATGCCCTGAGCCAAAGGCAGACGCTCAGGAGAAGCTCAGCTGCTGAGCCACCCGTCCCAAAATCCAGTAATTTTTAAAGTCACTTGAAATTATGAAATAGCCTGGCAAGAGCAGTGTATAAAACACTGGACCTTCTAGGTTACCATTTATATGATCATTCTACTCTTGTCGGAATCTTCACTGGCTTTAATACCAGCCAATGAAATGCAAGTTCAACCTGGTATTTGAAACTCTACCTAACATGGCCCTAACTCATACAATGCCACTTTATTTACTGCTGTGTTTGTGTGCATATGTGATGTTTACATACACAGAGAATACATATATTCTTGTGTATTCCATATATGTTCTTCTTTTCTGTATATTCTTGACCACTCACTAATTATTCTCTGAGATTGCTTCATGCTTTCCTAACTACTTACCCTTATCCATACTATTCCTGCCACCTGGAATGCCATCCTGCCTCTAGCCACCTTCTGTTTCTTGAAATCCTAACTGCCCTTAAAGAACCACCTACGATATTCCTTCTTTTCATAATTATTTCCTGAGACCTCCAACTTTTGAATCACTATTTGTTGTCTGTCAAAGCACTTACCACATTCTGTCCAACATTATAATTAATTTATGTATTTGCCTTATTTTCTGCTGCCAGGTTAAGTTCTGTGTTTGAGACCAAGGTCTGTGTCTCATCTGGATGTCTTCTGTGGAGCCAAATACCTTGAGCATGCTGTAGGTCTGCGTTACAAAGTGGTGAGATGAGACCTCTTTGCTGGTTTGGCTGATAAACCGTAATTGAAGACCATTCCGAAGCAATAGTTCTAAAAAGGTTTTGAGCAATGTCAGTATTTTTAGAAAAACCACAGTCTACAAACAACTTGAGAGGGTCATATTTATCTGGATGTTTAGATTTAGCGTGGTCATTCCAAATCAATTAATTTTTTTCTGCTGTGTTTGGTTGTTGCTCAGTTTCCAGTAGGCAGAGCTGGGAATAGGGTGAACTAAACTGGCACAGTTAGTGTTCTCTGCAAGTGCCCCATCAGTAGCAGTAGGCTGCTGAGAATCCATTAGAGACTGACCACAATTTTCTTTAGAAACAGGCTTGTAAGTAGAGAGAAAAAAAACTATAAATACCACATTCATTCCTCTACTTGCTGGCAGTAAAAATACGCCCTTTTGAAGATTTTATTTATTTATTTGACACAGAGAGAGGGAGAGCACAAGCAGGGGGAGGGTCAGACAGAGGGCAAAGGAGAATCAGGCTCCAACTGAGCAAGGAGCCAGATGCGGGGCTCAATCCCAGAACCCGGAATCGTGCCCTGAGCTGAAGGCAGATGCCTAACCTACTGAGCCACCTAGATGCCCTGAAAATATTTCTAAAACATTTATATGAGCAACAATTTTCTTTGTCTTCTTAGAACTATTACCCAGGATCACTGTTCAGTTTCTTCCTGTGACTTTTTTTTTTTTCCTTTGACTATCTTGATTGCCATTCCACCCAGCCTGAAAGTTTCTTACTTACAAAATTTAATATTTTGTATATTAAAAGTATTTCTCTTCACCATTTCTCTACATTTAAAATTTTATGAATATTTTTCCTTGAATGAGTATTTGTATTATAAATGGGAAACATTTATCAAAATGTACGACCCATAATTTCTGTAATTCATACATTTTCTTGATTTGTAAAAATTTCTTAAACACTGTAATAGAAAATGAACAAAGATGTGATTAGGTCCTTTATAGGAAAACAAAAACAAGCCCTAAGAAAAAATACTAATAAAAACAAATACTAATTAAAAGTGACAAATATGTAGCATCACTGGTAGTGATCAGAATGTAAATTAAAATAGGATAGGCAAAATTGTAAAAGAACAGCTGTATCCATGGGATGCCCAGGTGGCTCAGCAGTTGAGTGTCTGCCTTTGGTGCAGGGCATTATCCCGTGATCCAGGGGGTCCTGGGATCAAGTCCTGCATCAGGCTCCCTTTGAGGAGCCTGCTTCTCCCTCTGCCTATGTCTGCCTCTCTCTGTGTCTCTCAAGAAAAATACATAAAATATTAAAAAAAAAAAAAGAACAGCTGTATCCAGAATTGGTAAAAGCATAAAGAGATGGGTGTTTTCATTGTTGATACAGCTGGAAATTCTAACAACCTTCTGTATTTTTGTATGTATATCAAAGAACTAATATGTGGGTCCTCTGATTCTATAATGTTCCTTCTAGAGATTGATCTTGAGGAAATAACTGGAAAATGTGAAATGAAACGTGTTTAATACGTCCATAATAAAACTAAAGTGTCCATCAATTGGGGATTCACTGACTTAACATAGTAAATCCATGCAGTGGACTATGGTATAAATAATGATTAGTTCTTGTCTATTGATGTGAAAAAATATCCATAGAGTATTAAGTTAAAAAAAATCTGGTTACAAAACAGCATGTTTTTATTCCATTTTTTTTAAAAAAAACATATTTACACAGGAAAACTCTGTAAGAGCATATATGTTAAATATCTTGGGTGAGGGTGACAGATCATGGCAATTTTTATATTCTTCAAAACTTTTGTATTGTCTGTTGTTTTTACAGTAAACACACATTATTTTTACAATTCAAAAAAAATTATTTCCATTTTGAAAAAAAAATAAGACCAGATATATTTTTTAGAATTTTATTTTTAGACAATACAATAAAATAACTTTTAGCTATAATTACAGAAATATTAGTACATTACAATATTGTAATGTTGTCAGGATATAATAATATAAAATATTCAATATATTTTTAAATATATTTCATTTGGTTATAGAGTAAACATTAAATTAAGTTTAGTTGCAGTAACTTACATTTGCTGCATAGAAAAATCTTTGTAAGTTAAATTAGCAATACATTTCAAATTTAGCATTATTGTAATACTTTTATAAATAAGTTACTTAGTAATGTTTACCTTGCAGAAAGAGAGACCACTGAGAAATCCATTATTTTAGCACACTGTGAAATTCCAAAGTCGAAGCCCCAATTTGAAAAGAAACAAGTTATTTACATTTTATCTACAAAGTTAAATCTTCATAATATAAGCTCTTCATAGGCATCTGGAAAGAAATGCGTGGGAGCTATGTTTTAAGGCTCAGTCTTAGAGGTATGACTGACCAACTATTAATATGGCTTCATTGGAATGTAAGGCTTTAGCATCACCTGTCTTTCTCATCACTGCTAACAGGGCAAGAGAACACAGAGGCTTGGGTAAGCAGAGGCCAGTAAGTAATTTGGCATTAGTACCACTCTAGGGCTTTTACGTTTTAGTTAAATTAGATGACCGTAGGGTGGTTTGTGACTTTGGACTTTAAAGAGAGGCACAGATGGAGCAATTAAAGCCAGCTGTACCTGGTGACTGCCTGTAGAATCGGTTCTTGGCTGTTTGCCTACAGCAGTTCCTAATTTTGAGGGTGTTGGAAACCACCTGGAGGGCT